CCACACAGGCATGAGAGTCGCACGCTGAACAACTCAGCCAACACTGCTCTTTTGATTTTGTAAGTTTTATGTATTTATATTTGTTTAATTTGCATATTCCTATTGTTTATGTTGCTACGTAAAACTAATCCATGTTCATTTTTCCTTCTGGAAAAAAGCTTATTTTTTCCATCGATATTATTATTTTTATTTATCTAAATTGCATTGTGATTTCGTGTCATTTTGTGTATAATTATGGGATCGATAAAAATAATTAAAAACTATTTTGATCTAAAGTTCATTGGTATTATAAATGATTCTTAAATTGTTATTCACTACTAGTGGCGAATACCAATTTATTTTTGCATTTCGATTCAAGTAATTCATATTGTTTTGGTCGGTCGTGTATTTTAAAACTACAATCCCACGATGTAAATGTAAAACAATAGGCGTTTGGCAATTGTTTTCAAATAACTATAGTATGCAAACACTTGACGATTGTTAGATACCATACATACTTTTTATAGAAATTATCAAAGAATGTACGAGATTTCCTCCCCGATTCATCCAATTATAACTGACATTTTACCCTTTTATACCATGTTGTAATTTAATTAATGTAGTTGTGATGTATGGTAAAACATAATTTAAATATTTCAAGATCGCACGGTGGCAAAGATGCTATTTCAGGATACATTAAAATCTTATGGGTTTATTTATTTGTCTTTAAAAATAGAGAATTGACTTGACTTGTATAGACAACTATAGCATTGACTTTTATAGTTGTTTGTTCACGCAGAATGAGTGAAACGGAACGCCATATTATGACATATGTCAAAATATATTATATGTATTATTGTTTTACCTACTTGCTAATAAAAATTATAAGTGGTATATATGTATAGTAAATTGTCCATGACTGCATAATTCGGATCCGTTTTGAAACTTTGTTGGCACGTAACGTTGCCTTGAAGATCATATGACGAGCCGGTGATAAGCTCTTATTTTTTAAACGGTCCTTAAATAATAGCCAAATCCCACTGAGGACGTTTTTATTTTTACTCGTATCTAAAGTCACAATTTTGTCTAATCAATAGACTAATACATCAATATTATAAAAACGTTTTGACAGCTCTATAAACTACAGAATTTGATTAGTTAGTTAAGATTATACGTAGATAAAACCAAATTATTACCTGCAATGGTAAATTTTCCCGCCTACATAGCAAAGTTGTATTGTTTATTTAAAATGGTAAATGGTAAATTTATTGCAACATAAGTAGTTGCAATAAATGGTGGCAAATAATATGAACTGTAATGGATACATTGAGTTGCTATTTGAAAATTTTATTATAATTTTTATCGTGTAATTACTGCATATTTGGCAAAATCAAAGTTGTATAAATGTGGTTACAATAAATAGCATTCGTCATTACCCGGATCTTCAAATAATCCTTCAAGTTAAATTATTTCGCCTACTTCTATCGTTTATATAATTGTATAACAAAAACCGTGTCATCAAGTCTTAATAGTCGGCCCACGTTGTGATTGTCAAAGGACTATAAAAATAATTGCGATAACCTTACTATAATTGCCGGTTACTATTGAACATCTGCACCTGTTTATCTTAAACTGCTCAAAGGCTTTGATATCATTTGCGGTTTGGTACGAGGTCAAAGGGAGCGCTAGAACATTTTGTTTGGAAATACGTTAAAACTACTTTAGGTTTAAAATATCAAATTGCTGGTAGGTAAGGTTTAGGTGTATGTATTTTCTCATCCTCACGGCCGTATTGTGAGTCATCCATTACATCGCTAATGGTAAATAAGTTAATTATGTAAAACATATAAACGCCTGGTAAGTTGGCAACTGATTAAAGCATTTGAATACCTTTCTTAGCTTCTGATTGGATCTTGAGTAAAAAACCAGTAGTGCTACAACCTGTAGGTTGGCCTTAGATTTATGTATCTGTTCTTAATTTTTTAAGACGCATTCAACCCGTTTTTAGAATTTAGGCATTCCAGGTTTACGCTTTTCTATTGGTGGACAGCCGTGAATCGGACCTGCTCGGATCTTGGGTAAACTTATTTAAATTTTTAATAAATGATAGTTAATTTATTAGTAATCATAACAATCAAATATACAGTATTTACAATTTTCTTAATCTACATAGTAATAAGAAAAATAATTAAAATTTAATAAAAAGAAAATTAAAACAAATTTAAATAGTTTAGTCCCTGTGGCAGTGTACCTTTAACGCTGGCAGTATTTCCTCGCTGTATTGCGATACTTATTCGTTGAGCGACGAAAGCACCAGCTCTGGGGTCACCGGTACTATCTACCAGGCGCCAACTTAAATCTTTAATTAGCGCCTGTGCACTTGAACCCCACGGCCCACTATTACTACTCCAAACGGAACAAAATCGAAGTTGGAGGAAAGTCTCTTTTATTTGAGCAGTAAAAAAATAAAGAAATAAATAATAAATTAAGTAATGCCTGTCTGATAACGTGTGTTCAGATTGGTCCGTTTTCGTTCGCACTATTAGCATAAAATACAATTTTTCTGCTATCAAGTTATATTGGATATGTGCAAATAATGCGATATTGTTTTTAAATAAACATTAAATGTAATCGACACTACGTCCATGCGCGATATACCTACTACGGATTGTAGGTATTCTGTAGATATATTGCGGACTGTTCAAAAACCTAGTGTATATGATGTTGGTAGATCTCACTTATGAAAAGAAAATTGTTTAATTTAATACAATCAATCAAGCTCGCGTATTTACAAATACAAAAATAATCCTTCATCCGTAACATTACGGTTCAGAACTCGGTATATTAAAACAATATTTGCATACCTAATATAAATCAAGCTATATTGCAAAATAATTTGCACGAGACGACCTTATCAAGTCCGAAACAAAAAGGATTGGACTAATCACAGGGTCAAGGAACGGTGAATTGCGTAAGCTTTGGGCGGTTATAAGATAAAGGTCGATTGAAGGGGTCGTGACTCGTGACCGTTGGTGCTATTAATGACACGAAGCTCCATTTCAACAATTACTAACTGGTTTTCTAATGTTTGTTACATATTTCACATCGCTATATATAGTCGGCCACTACTCGGTTTGGGAGAAAGTTAGAATTTGTTTGGTTATTTTAAGAACTACACCTCAAATGTATATTTTCACTTAAAATAAAGAGTTTTCAATTCTACATATAGTGGCCTTTGAAGATTTTATGTTCATGAGATTTCCTCTAATCTCCTACCCTAAATCAGTAGCAAGGCTTTCAGACGCTCATTATAAGTTCTTCCTGAGTGACCTGATTTTCTGTTTTCTTTGATGGGTTCAAGATGCTAAAATCCTTTTAATATGGATCCCAAATGCTGTGGCCATTTTCTGATAGTAGTCTAATGTAACATTTATATATCTTTGAGTGTTCTTGGTGAAATGATTTTCTCATATCATATGTCATAGGTATTTTTATATTATATTTTTTTAATAATTTAATGGTACCAAAGATTGCAATATTGTACTAAAAGTTACTGTTACAATTTTGCCCTATTACGACAAAAATCCTTCAGAAAAATATTTTATTGCATATTCTGTAACAGACAAATGTTTAGTGCCAGAAATTAGAATATCTCTGTTAGAAATAGAATTTACCATTTTACATAGATAACTAAAGTTTAAAAGCCAATATAATGTTCATAATGTCTTAATAGACACGCTTAATTAGTCCAATTTTATGATTTTTTTCTATACTAATATTATAAAGAGGAAAGGTTTGATTTTTTGTTTGTTTGAAATGAATAGGCTCCGAAACTACTGGACCGATTTCAAAAATTCTTTCACCGTTGGCAAGCTACACTATTCCTGAGATAGGCTATGTTTTATTTAAAAAAAAATTAGGGATGCTTACTAAACCTTGAATCATCTAACCCAAGGTGTAAAAAAATAAACAAAAATCTTCCTTCAATCGTGTGCGCTGCGAAAACTATTAATGATAGAACAAAATGATGTATCACAATTTTTCAGGAAACATCACTATCTATAAAAAATGTCACAACAGCATGTCTCTATCTTTTATAGTTACGTCACAATAAGCGTCCTTTTATTAATTTTTTTTTATTAAAATACCACCGCTAGAAAAGAATCTTTATTCGTACCTAGGTATTGATCCTTATCAAAATAATAACCAACGTTTCACATAAGCTACAATTTAATGACATAACCACCAAAAAAGCATGGAGGAGTGGTGTTCTCCTGCCGTTTCTCTTGAATAGTTTACTACTATGTAATATAACAAAAATCTTAGCCACAGCCTAAAACTGCCTCGACATTTGCGTGCTTAAAAGATCACATGACATACAACTTAAAATCTACATAGTTGAATGAATTTATTCATTATTTGTAGCACACTAAATAGACTAAAATCACGTAAATTGTATTTTTTTTAATTATTACTATACCTAGGGCTTGATGCTATTTCGCTTAATATATTAAATACCTTACGAACTGTACAAGTGGCATTGACAGCCGGTGATCTAAATTTCTGTGTACTCGATGTAAATGACATCTCAAGGCACGATTATTAATATGTGCTTCGTGATGCGCAGGATTCACTTAATGATAATTTTTGCCCGTCGCTTGGTAATTAGTTTGTTAGTAGAACACTCAAGTGTCTGCATACCAAATATATTTAGTCCAACCAAGTACCTAATATTATGTTATAGAATAGGTAAGGAAATTGACCTGATTGGAAGTTATAGCCTATAGACAATCACGATAATCATCGAACGACACATAAGATCACTTTAATTTAGACTTACATGACCCACAGACAATTATTATTAATTAAAGAATGAGTGCGTGAATAATACAGTTTATTATCTTTACATGAGACGTAGATTAATAAAATACATTTATTACAAAAGCATTTATTTCTTACCATAAATAAAAATTAACAATAATAAACATAACTTAAATCCTACTTCAAGGTAGTAAACACTCTTAACTTTGGGTGTTATTAACACCTGTCGGGTTCACTTTACACGTAATTCTATACGATTCGACCATTTTCACCGAATCCCTGACTAAAACCATAGATCGTATCGTAAACGAATGCGTAAAGCACAGACTACCATCACACAAAGACGTCACGAAACTGAGATATAAGCGATAATGTGTGTTATCTGTGCGCGATTTTAACTTCATTTCCACCCGTCCGGGGAGAGTCGAACCCATATTCGTACAACCAATAAATTCGAATTCCTCCATAGTAACATCTTTATTATCCTCATTTCTGATGCAAACCCGCCAATTCTGCTTAGCCCCAGCCGTGAATTTCACTTTTCGTATGTCGTTGTCCAAACTGACGTTGAAATGAATGATTAGGTTACCACACTTTCGGTTCACGAATAGATCGCTTTTGTATAGAATTAGGTTCTCTGGTTCGACGAATTTCACTTCGGAAACGCGTACACGGAACTCTTGGCATACGTTTTTCGCGATGTTGAGTATTTTTATGATGTGATTGTTTGTGTCGGCTATATATAGGTATTTGCCGTCTTGGCTGACCGATAGGCCGGAGGGTTCGTTGAATTTCACCGGGTCGGAGCTTTCGATCATTGTTGGGGAAATGGTTGTGACCTTTTGAGGGCCGATGTCGACCTTTTTTATTTTATTATTGTAGGTGTCAGCGATATAGAGGGTTTTGTTCGCTTCAGAGTACGCGACAGCTAGTGGATGTTGGAGTTTTGCTTCAACACCGATTTCGTCCACGTCTCCATACGCGAACAGATTCTGTAAATTACATGTATAGGTGAAATGAAAAATGAAATCGATTATTCTTCTGGACTCGAATTCGGTCGAGGTACAAGTGGGTGAAGTAATTTTTTTCTTAATTACCTTAATATTCTGGCTAAATTTTATAACAAAAACATAATACAACTATATATACTTATATTATATACTTCCTTTTTATATCTTTACTATACCATAAAATATAAACTACCTCTGTGGCTGGTTCGATTTCACCAAAACAATCAATGTTAATGTATCTGTTTTAGGAATATGGTGTGATAATAAATATAGTTGGTTACCAATGGATTTCTATCTCCCCCACAAAGCGTGGACACGTGTCCACTCGCGAGCGCCAGTCTACGTATTGAAGAACTCTCCGAATCCGCTATGAATACTTCTGGACTACCCACTTTTAACAGAAAACAAACACATAAATGTTGATAAAATATAACAATAAAATAATCAGAGTAGTTGGCTTATGGAACGGTTTTCCATAAGCCAACTACTGCCATGCCAAAAATAAAATAAAAAAACCGAGAAATCGTCATGTGTAAGGCACAAAAGGCTGATCTCCTTCTTGCCTATTAATAATAAATAAAACGAAGGCGATTTATTTCGTTATTAATTTAAAGTAAACAAATAGTCTTACCATTTTTGAGCGTTAGTCCCGAAGGTTGAGCAAAGGCGGCAGTATGCGGGTACGCGCTGTTTCTCGCTGCTTCCGCGCCCGTACCCGCTATACGTACGCATGTACCTGTAAAAACAAAAATATATATAATGGGGGTGATTTTATTATAAATACACTTATAAACGTTAAAAAAATTCTTAATTTACTTTTATTTAAGGATAAACAATATATGTATACTAAACTAAAATACAAAAAAAGACTAAATTGTTTTTTACACATACAAAAGAGAAATTACATAATTTAAAAAATAAAATTTAGTAATGGAAAAAAACATTGGTTTAACAGCGAAAACGGAAATTTACTGCCAGTTCTCAAAAGGCATGGAACGTACGAGAAGACCTGGCATTATTACATACTGTATTACAAGATGCTTATATAAGAAGCAACCAAAACAAAACACATGTGATATCTCCCTATTAAAGGTGAGGGGTCCGATTGCTGGCAATGCGTAGTACTCGACAATGGGTACTACTTGTGGTGTCTGATCGGAATTGGATAGGTGTATATTGGCTATGTATTGATTATTTTCTGCCTTGTTTCAACTTGTTACTACGTGTTTGTGTGCCACCGCGTCTTGATGGCTTTTAATTATATATATGCCACCGTAAAATTGTAAACACCGTTAGATTGTAATCTATCTCGCGAGATTGTAAACTGTCGAAAGATTGTCAACTCAACGTACTGCTTACAATTTAACGTATTATTATTCGGTAGATTGTAATCTATCGAAGTGAAACCGTTTGAAACATAAAACTACAAACGGACCAACTCTGTATTAATTAATGTCCTAAAATCCCCATGGCCATGGCCCATGGGTACCTACTGTGCGTTTCGTTGTTTTTTTTAATATTTAAGTCGCCAGGAATCGAGCCAATTATACCACAAAGCCATTAAAATATATTCTAAATATTCACTACACACCGTTCCAACCTTTTCCGAGCCCAAATTTAAAACTATTGAACAGTTTAGAGATTTGCATCATTAATAAACAATCAAAATTATATAAAAGGACCCCAAAGGGTTTTCCGCATGTTTTTTTAAGGGGTTGGGTTTTTAGAAAGTGGAAGTTCCCCCTGGGGTGGCCTCTGGCGGGTTTTTTTTTTTTTCCCCCCCCCCCCCCCCCCCCCCCCCCCCCACAATTTTTTTTTTTTTGGTTTGTTTTCCCCCCCCCCCCATTTTTTATTATTATAAATTGGTACAGACTTGTTGCAAAGGTATTATTCTTCCTAAAACTTATTATTATTGTTAGATTTCTTAAAATTATTTAATTTATACTACCTTCCGTGTATGTTTTGTACTTCCACCAAATAGTGTTGTCAAGGAACAGCGCCCAAATTTGATGCGATCCTGCGCAAGCAATTAACACCACTCGGCGACGGTCATCTTTTTTCTCCTTGTCTTTTTCTATATATAAACAGTTTGATCTATTCAAATCAAATCAAAATACGTTTATTCAGTTTTGATGCGTCTTAGCGCAGGCTTATGAATGTCAAAAACGTTTACAAAATTCGCAAAAGAGCGAGACTACGCCATCCATTATTGAAAAGTAATTTATCATATTCATTTCCTATATTTTATATTACAGCAAATTAATATTAAATTAAACTTTAGAGGGAGATTGTAAAACGATTTGAGTGCGACAATTTTCAAAGGCGCCCAAATAGACTTAAGTACAAACTTACGATCTATCCATAAGATCTTAAGGTTAATAAAGGCATAAAACACCCAATTTCTAGAAATAACCAACGAGTCCAGTTTTAAAATCTTCCTTAGGAAGTTAGTATTTTGCTAAGCTTTGATTTTTTTTTATTCATACCATTTCCAGTATTTTCTTTGTTATCAACTGCAGGCGTGGACAACGCCATTGATGGTCTCACTGACATGTCCATATCTGGGGTCGTATAGAGTATTATGTCCCACGGGGACGATAGAGCTTGCTGACCGAGGCATTTGCCACCTGCATAGTTGTTAAGATAAAAAAAATTGTGTAATTAGTGTTGATTTCAGGAATAAAAATAATTTCTTGTTTGGGTCGTTTAAGTATTACGTAAGCAGATATACTGCAATTTATATCCCCTCTCCCCTCCTCTTGTCAGCAAAAGTAAAAAATTACAGTACATAAACAAATTAAGTTTTTGTAAGAATCTTCGAAAATGCATTTCGTTTTCAAGCATAGACAATGTGTGGGTAATATGTGTGAAAAAGTAAACAATTACTGTTGACGTAATCACCAAATAAGAAAATCAAAGAAAAAATCCCCCCACCCCCTATAGTGCTGCTTACGTAATACTTTAACGGCCCCTATAAAAAAAGATCATAATGAAACCCAAATTAAGGCTTAAAAAATAATTACATCCGGTAATAATAATAAAAACAAGGCTTATAAATATTCAATTGAAAGGGGACAGAATACTGAGAAAAAAAACGCGTAGGGTTTCAGAGAAAATGGCCAACTGACGACAACCGCAATCGAGAGCCTAGAGTCTGGCTAATGAAAGAAGATAATTGAATTATTTGAAAACTTTCGGATGGCAACACAGAATGTCATTGAATTTCTTAGGTTCGTATGATTTATTGTAATGCAATTACTCATTTTTCTTTCTATTATATATTTTTTCCGAATAGTTAACAGGTACCTAAACTTTGTTTTATTTGATAAAATATTTCGTTTCTTTCGCAGGATTTGATTATTCCGAATAAAGTTGTATATAATAAATATAGTTTTAGTTTTCCATGCAATGCTAGTAATTTTAAGTATAGTATTTAATTTCATAGAAATACAGTTACTATCAATGTAAAAAGTAATAAAATAAAATCAAGTATCAAGTAAGTTTAATCCACAAAATATATCAAGCTTTTGGAGATACCATACTATTTTTTTTTAATATGCTGCGCTTTTTCGTTATCTTCCTTCATTAGCAAGACTCTACCAAATGGCAATTATATCTAAAAGAAATAGTAAAGTAAAAGAAGACATTCAGTAAAATAAAGAATGCTATTTTCTTTTAAATATAATTACTGATTACTAAAGTTAACAACACAGTTTAACATGTAGTATGGCTGACGCACACACCGTGCAGGCGAAAAATTGGGTAAGAAGAAGAAGGGGACTATAACCATGACAATGACATACCTTGATCACCCGTCTCCGCCTGTTTCCCAATACCAGTGAGCAGTTCCACTGAATTCTCGTCCAAGTGAATCGCTCTTATAGCGTGGTTGTTGGTATCACAAACCAATAGAACAGAGCTGGAGAGCCAGCATAAACCTTGTGGCGAGTTGAATCTTGCCACAGAAAGCTCTAGAAAGTATATAATAATAAATACAATCGAGCAGTAACCAAGATCAGTCATCGTAGATTTTATCTAAGTAGGTATGTCATGTTTGAATAAAAAACAATAAAGATGTATTGATATTTCACAATAACTTCAATAGTTGACTCTAATTAAAAACACAATACATTATAAATTCCTCGCTACAAAAAATACCTATAAGTTTTATTTAATTTCGTTTTTATTCAATCATGATGATTATTTTTGCTAGCGCATAAAAAACACAGACAGTGTATCATTATCGAAATAATTTAAAGAATCCGTTAAGTAGTTATAGACATTACTCTAAACAAACTAAAAAAAAATATTAGTTTTAAGTTTTTATAATATTTATATAGGCTCTTACAATAACGAATACATACTTAGTCCCCAATGAGAAGATTTACATACATTGCGTGGGGGGGGCTTGGGGGGGGGGGGTTTTCTCTTTCTTTTTTTGGGGGGGATATAATATTTTATGTATTGATATTAATAAAATATTGAATGACGATTTTATTAGATGGAAGGTTGGCGTATGCGTTTTTTAAAGGAGGAAGACGCGCGTGTGAAATCATTAATTTTGTTAAGTTATAGCGCGCTCTTAAGGTATATAATATTAGGTCCTTACATATGAAATTGGCGTTTTGTATGGGAGGAACAAAAAGTCGAATATTTTTAAATGTTAATATATTTAATTAATCAAAGTATGAACCATTGTTTTCTATGCACTTTTGCCATCTCATAGGTAGTTCATTGATCCCTTCCCGATCCCAGTCGGACGGGAATCAATAAAATCTGTGAAGGCGATTTGGACTGCCCCATCAGAGTTAAATTTTTTCCCTTGCAAGAAGTTGTCCAAATTTCGAAAAAAATGGTAATCTTTTGGAGCAAGGCCCGGGGAGTACGGAGGATGTCTTAGACATTCCAATTGAAGCTCTTCTAATTTGGTAGCCGTCTGTTGTGCAGTGTGTGGTCTAGCGTTGTCGTGAAGTAGCAGTGGCGTGGTTGTTTAGCCGCTAGCTTTTCCATCATGGTTTGCAATTGCTGACAATAGACATCATCGGTAATAGTCTGGCCAGATTTGAGAAAACTGCAATGAACAATACCGGCACTAGTCCACCAAACGCTTACAAGTAGCCGTTGAGGTCCCGGTAGAATGCGACAGCGACCCCGGAGCCTCTGTAACGCGGCTTTGTCGGAACTACTCGAGGTGGTTTTAGTGGGTATTGCTCACCCAGTCTCTGAATAGCAGAGATTTTGGCGTGGGTCGAGTCCCACATACCCCTGTTCAGGGGTAAAAAAAAACGCTTACAAGTAACTTTTTTGGGGTTAATTTTCGCAGGATTTGGCTGGCTGGCCAGGACCCAACCATTGCGCTGAGCGCTTCCGATTATCGTAAAGAATCCATTTTTCATCACAGGTAATGATTCGGTTTAAAATACCTTCATTATTGTGCCGGTTCAGTAATGTAACGCAGCAGTCGACGCGCGTTTGCCGGTTTGCTTCAGTCAATTCGTGAGGAATCTTTCAAGCTTTATCAAGCAAAACAGTTTTATCACTAACACCGCAGCCTGCAGCTAACTCGGACGTGGTTTGCGATACATCCGCTTCCACAATAGCCTTCAATACTTCATTATCAACTTGGGTCTCAGGCCGTCCACGGGGCTTGTTCTGCAGGTCAAAATTTCCAGAACGAAAACGTTGGAACCAAAAACGAACTGTGTTTTCTTTTGCAACATGACCGCCCATTTTGTAAAATGAGTGACGCAAACAGAAAAAAACAGAAGAGAAAACAAATGAATGACGGTCATCGAAGCACAAATACATGAGTAAATAGCTGTACAAATTTGAATTTGGAATTCCTTACCAAAGAGGAGAACATCGTGATTAAAGTGGCCAGTACGAAATACGCCAATGTCATATGTAACGACCTAATATATTTTACTTTAGCAAGTGATTCCAACTCAAAATCTTTGGTTCAAACTTAAATTTAAATTCTAATGAAGGCACCTAGAAACTTCTTTGTAGTGAAAACTTTAATTCCCAATATCAATACATATTATTTTATATTTAGATCATAATATACTTATTAACAGGACAAGCGGCATGCAGTAAAATTTCATAGTTGAATTTAATAAAAAATTAATGCATTGGGCAGATACCAACTTTTAAAACTTTTTATTTAGTTATTATTACAAATTATCTAAAATATGCAATAAAAATATAAAATTTGTTACTTTTTAACAAATTACATGCTATCTTAAGATAAGAAAATACAATAATAACAAAATAAAGATGGTGACCACTTGCATACTTCTATATTAGAATATAAACTAACCTCCATCTTTCAGTCCAGGCTCTGAGTCGCCAATAACTCTTAAAATAATTCCCAAGCAGTCAGTCAATAAAATTCTGTGATGACCTGTGTCAGATATTGCCAGGTATGGCTCATCAGCTCTTCCACGATAAAATGGATTTAGCGCTATCTAATGACAAAATAGTTTAAAATATATTAAAGAGAATACAAATAAGATTTTATGACACACAAGACACATATACTTGATGTTTTTATCATAAATTATGCTACAGAAATATAATTATACTAACCTTACTTGGATAGGAAAGTATACTATTTTTCGCCTTTATATGCTTTGATGGAGCCATAGGTATTGGTGCATAACTAATTGAGTTAGAACTATTAAAATGATTTATTAGAGCTCCAACATACCACTCCAGCTCTTTTCTGTGCCCTTCTCCAGTTAGAATAAACACTGGTTTGTTTTCTGGGCCTGAAAGACAGTTCATAGTATTATTTAAATGAGTGTGTCTAATGTGTAGAGCTAATATTTTACAGTATATTACAAAATCTCTCATTTGTTTAAGTATATTATATTTTTTGTTTAGCAGATTTTATACGAGATGATCTGATCCCTCAAAAAACTCTAATTGATGTAGAATTGAAACCATTTTTTTCCCATGCTATTATTATAACCCAAAATCATGTTAATGTTCATGAGTAATGTTACAGATTCTATTATAATAGACCTAAAATATACCTAAGATTAGAAGGGTAGGCCAACATCTTATTCCAAGTGCATTCCACATTACAATCTCAGAATCATTGACAACTGGATGGTGAATGCCATATCTTTCCACTGCAGAAAGTATATTATTTGATATTTTTTCATTCAGGAACTTTGCACAATGAACACCAATCTAAACAAGAAACTTAACAGTTTGACTATGTTCTTTGAACTATGACTGTTTGCACAAATAAAAAAAGAATAAAATTATTAGATTAATTGTTACATACTTACAATAACTAATCCATTTTCAACTTTATACAACTTTTCTAAATGGGCTAAATCAGGTAAAACATGATAGCAATTGATGCAACAATAAGTCCAAAAATCTAATACAACCACTTTATCAGTGCAGTGCTGTGCTAGATATATTGGCTCAGATACATTTACCCACTCTAAATCTGAAATGAAGTGTTTAAAAAATATAAAAAAATAAGAAAATGAAAGCAGCGTTGTTTTATGTAAATTTATGCAGTGTAGTTGAACAAACTTTTCTTAAAATCTTCAACTGGAGGAACAATTGACCAGACTTTCTTAATGTGTTCATTAATTAAAAACTCTCTCTCTGTTTCGTTGGTAGTATTTCCTATATTTTCTGTTAAATCCATGCAAGCCTGTGCAACAAAATCTAAGGGACTTGTTTCCATGTTTTATATTTTACCTAAAATAAAATGCGAAAACTTAACTCTTTATATAAAAAGTATGTAGTTGTAGTTTTTTGTGAAAAAACACAATTTCAAATTTGATATTTTTTTTTAATCAACTAATAAAATCAGGAGTATATTTTACACTAAAAAGTTAATATTTTGAAAAATATGTACAGACAGAACAACAAGATCACTCACTCAATTTCAAGTATAAAATTAAAATCAAATTTACTTTTCACAAATGTCAGGCGTCTTGAATTAAGTGTCATTGTCATGTATTTTGTTATCTCTTACATTACACGATATTCTTTATTCTATTTAATATTCTCTGTGAATTTTAAATCGAAATCCATCTGTGTTTGACATGTTTACAAAACTGAAAAGAAAACAATAAGTTGTTCCGTGTTCGTGACTCTTTAAAAACTTTTTCGTTATTGTCTGTTCTAATTTATTTTCTCATTAATTGAACAGTCACACAGTCCCACATAATATCGTGGAAAATTATGTGTAGATATGGATGCCATGTTTGATATATGTTACCTGTCACCTGATAGTAATAATGTTGAACCAGATGATATACCCAAGACAAAGGAAAATGTTTGGATATTGGGAAGAAAATACAGCCCTATCCAAGGTAATACGCTACATCACAACCAATTTATTACCATAGCAGATGTGTAAGAATAACTGGTTAAATATAAAATATTTGTTTGTTATCAGATTTGGATCGCATACGACGAGATATCACTTCAATCATTTGGTGTACATATAGAAAAGGGTTTATCCCTATTGGCGACGAAGGGCTAACTTCTGATAAGGGCTGGGGATGCATGTTGCGTTGTGGTCAGATGGTTCTAGGAGTTGCATTAATTAGGGTGCATTTGGCATCCGATTGGGTTTGGACCCCTGAGACGAGGTATATTTGATTATAGTTATTTTATTTATTGTATAAATTTGATCTTAAACCGTTTCACCACTATGTCATGATATTGCACTGACTGTGACATAATGTTAAATGAAACAATTTAGAGTGCAATGAATGATAAAATAAGACCGTCAGATGCTTTTACAACACTTTCCTATTCTAAGGTTTAATATACCAAGGTAAATTCTGTAAAATTACAAGAAAGTATTGAATTTATAACTAGTTTAAATAATTATGTTTTCAGAGATCCAACATATTTGAAAATAATACAAAGATTTGAAGAAAGGAAGCAAGCTCCATATTCAATACATCAGGTTGCTCTAATGGGAGCTAGCGAAGGCAAGGAGGTAGGCCAATGGTTTGGGCCTAATACTGTGGCACAAGTACTCAAGTAAGTCAGTTTTGTTTACAAATAATAGATTTCTTTGTTAGACTATTATGAAATTATTAGATTTTTTATTTAAAGTAAAGTTTTATGCAATATTTTGTCACCTTGACATAATTTCTCTACAGTGCTTTGTTTTTTATTACAGAAAATTAATTGTTTATGATAAATGGAGCTCACTTGTGATACATGTGGCATTAGATAATACAGTTGTGAAAGAAGACATTTGTAAGTATGAACTGATGATAGTAAAATAAAAATATTATACATTCACATACTTTTGAGAAATAATTAGCAACCCTAATAGTTATTTTGGTTTAGTTACTAAGGAGGCCTCACCTTAAATTTTAGCAATGGTTAGTTGTTGAAATATCAATATCCCACACCTAAATGAAGAGTCAAAAGACTTCACAGAGAACTTGGGCTACCTACAAAGTGCTGAACTGATTGATAAGAACTTTGTCACATAGAAAATAAGCAAACAAAGAATACTAATATAAAAAATATATAAATTTAAGAGAGTAAATAGAGAAACTACTTCTATGTGTATTAATTTCTATTTCAGTACAGCAATGTATGGTTAATAATGATAGAGGAGATGATCATACACCAGACAGTGCAAATATAACAGATTGGATGCCACTCCTTTTGATTGTGCCACTCAGATTGGGTCTTAGTGAAATAAATCCTGTGTATGTTAATGGTCTTAAGGTAGGGCAGCTAATAGTGGAATGACACAGTAAATATTTTACTTTATACAAAATTAAATTATTTTTTAGGATAATTTGTTATATAGACATATTTCTAATAGAAACAAAATTAAACAGATTGAAGTAGAGTAAATTGAAGCTTGTTTTTAACTGGCAATTAAAATTTTTAAATCAATTAGCAATGTATTAATCTATTAAAAAAAACATGCTGCTTCAAATGTAGCATGTTATATAGAAATAATATTCTATAATTAATATATGTATAGTATATAATATGTATTTTATGTTAAACATATAGAAGGCTATTTTCATGATTGATTATTACCAACAGACTTTAATTTCTTTGGTCAAGTATAAAATCTATTTTATACCTTTTAGATATGTTTTCAATGCCCTCAATCTATTGGAGTGATTGGAGGAAAACCAAACCAAGCACTATATTTAGTTGGCTGTGTTGACAATGAAGTTTTATATTTAGATCCTCATACAACACAGAGATCTGGTCTTGTCGAAGTAAGTTTATCAATTGATGTTTGCCAGGTGATAGCTTTTGGCATTAAGCCATCTGCTCTCCTTAGAATCGACAAAACACGATTCGTCATTTCACCTGCCTGTAATTAGGATATATTTAAATTTTATGTTAAAAAAAATTTACCATCATAATTTAATTAAGCTTGTTAAAATTGTTGTGTAGATAATAGAATTACAGTATGTGCAGACAGAAAGCCTTAAACATCATGATTAGTAGGAAAAAAACAAGACTCAGGAGCACAAAGTTCAACATTTGTAAGAGTTGGACTGCCTCTGAAAATTCAAATCTTTATATTAGTTCCATTTTACGCAATTTTGTAACATTGTTTAGATGTAAATTATGGTTAGTGGAATTTGGGCTTGAAGGTCCTTATTTATTTTTAGGCATTATATATTTAACAATATCAGTTAGACTCAGAATGTAATATCATGATATTTTTTTAGAATAAACAAACGGATGAACAGAAAGAAATGGACTGTTCGTATCATTGTAGATATGCTTCACGCATACCAATGCTTGCCATGGACCCCTCAGTAGCTGTGGTAAGATTTTTTGAAGTTATACTTCTTTAGGCGCGTTATGAAAAATTGATGAGAGTGAAATCTTACGATGCGCGCGCACCGTGACACAAAATTATCAGTACGAAGTTGCCCACTAACGAATTCTTTTTAAACCAGCCGGGCGGCGAGCGTGCGCGAGCGAGATGGGAATAAGACAATCTACAAGTAAAAAGAAATAGAATATGCGTGAAGTTAGCAGCTATGGCAAGAATTTTGAATGACCATAATGACCTTTGTAGTACCTTTTAAACAAATAAAGGAGTTTTAATAGTTTTTTCAAAGAAATTTAGCAATGCTTTTTCACAAAGACCTATTGTTACTGAATATTATTGAATAAATTGAATATTTAAATCAATACTAATTAATATTAGAAAATATTTGTGAAAAAACTGTGCTCATCAACCTTCCTAAGTGCTTCAATACAATTGAGGTTAACTATCCGTATGTATTATTAATAATGCCAAAGAAGTATAACTTCATACGCGCGTAAATAAGTACACGCACCCTTTTTTTTACTCTGTAAGAGATAATTTTAAGGAAGGTGGATTGTCAGTTTTGATGTTTGATCATATTTATCTGACAGCTTTGTTTATTCTAGTCTATGCCCAGGCCTGACGGTATACATTATTAAATTTTTAACTGACTTTAAAAAACTGAAGGAGAAGGTCATCAATTTTATGTGTTATTTTTTAAATAAATAATATTACTAGTACTTCATAAATAATATTTTATGAAGTACTAGTAATATAATAATTGAATATTTATTACATAGTTATTATGGTTAATATAATTTTATTTCAGTGTTTTCTGTGCCGAACTAAAAGTGATTTTGACGAGTTATGCAAAACATTTGAAGGGGAACTAATGAAGGAATCTCAACCATTGTTTGAAATCTGTGAAAAGCGGCCTTCGCATTGGGGTCCAAGTAATGATATAGATTTACAAAACACGACACTCTTTACAGGTATTTTTATACGAACATTTTTTTAAAAGGGATATAAAATAAAAAATTACCATGAATTAATTAGTTCTAGTCTTACCCTTATTTGTATTGGCATAGTACATTTTTGGGCTTTGATAATGGGGCTACAAACAAGACTGGATAAAATATATTTTATTGGCATAATATAATACATCTTATATTATATTCAAACTTTCTACATTATTTTGAAGGATTTATTAATTTGTAGGTATAAATTTTTAAGGAAAATGAATAAAATAACTGTAAAATACTGTCCTTTTAAATTACATAACTTATTACACTCCAGTTTTATGACATTTTGAAGAGAGTATTTGCATAAAAAATATGGTAGCCAATGTCTGATACACAAAGATATAAAGTTTATATGAAGTCAGAATATGGCATACCTATATAATTATTGTTATTGGTTTTCTATTTCAGAATTTGAAGATGTGGATAGACAATTTGATGACTCAGATGATGAGTTTGAAATTCTATGAGAAAGATTATTTTATGTACAGCCTTTTCAATTTAAATTTAAATCGAAATATTATGTTGCTTAATTGCCTAAATAAGTTATTTCTAAATTCCAAAGATATGTATAAATGCAGATATAGATTTATAATCACATAAATTCTATGTAACTTGTAGTCACAATATTCTTTTTACTATTACATTATTATTCGTTCAAATATTTGTTTATTTTATTGTGTTTTGCTTTTTCTTCAAGTTAACATTATTAAAATAAATTAATCATAATAATAAAATTATTAGACTGGTTTAGTATAAGTTAATATATTTTGCAATGCCTTTTAAATAAAACATGCAAACAGATTGTAGTGACTTTACGTTTTACCCATAAAATTTACCTTAACCACAAATAGATAAAGTTAATCTTCGGTGGTTACTATACTGCTTTAATTTTTTTAAAGTAGGTTAAAAATATATAATATCCTATTTTAAAAACGAATTAAAAAGACGTATTACAGTTGGGCGTGTATGGACTTCATTAGATTAACATGAAAATGCCGCCAGCAAATATTCTGTCGTTTTAACATACAAAAATAATCTGTGGAACGAATTCTCCAAAACGTTGTACGTATTGCAAAAGTAGGTTATGTCTATGTGACTGTTGACAAGAGATAGAAATGAAGATAATGTGAACTGTGACTTGTGAGAACTGAGAATAGGAGAAGAAAATAGTAGTCTGTGGTGATTAGTGAGACAAATGTGAATTAAAGCTACAATATTTTTATTTTCATGACTAAACTGAAGTTATCGTAATAAAGCGGGTTTTATTGCTTATTTAATTTTTTTTGCTTAGAAATGGAAGACGAATTAGAGGATCGTGTTTTACATCAAACATACTTGTCTTGTATGAAAATTTTGTCGCGCTTTAGTAGTAGTGTTGCTTTAGACACCCCAACGAGCTATTTCTGGAAAATGGTGCGTCTTTATTTATTGCGCTCGGAAGTGCTCATTTTCACATTTGGAATAGTAGTAGTCTTCATGTACTTACAAACTATAGGATTATGGAGCCGTACGTTACTAAGCAGGCTATCGCATGCCGTAAATCCAATAAATGCAGTCCAAAGAATGAAGTTGATGGAAGGCTCGGATGCGGACAAACAGAGTTGGGAGTTAAAGGGGTCATTGAGTGCGGTGTATGCAATTAGAGGAAGGAGAATGCACATGGAAGATAAGTTTATAATAAATGAAAATATAAATGACACAGGCATTTCTTTATTTGCTATATTTGATGGACACGGCGGAGATTTTGCGGCTAATTATGCACAAGAACATCTAATACAAAATCTGTACAATAAGGTTGTAGAGTTAAGTGCATTTAAAGATGGCAAACTTCCTGAAACTCCTAAAAATGAAAGCCCGGATGAACATAAGAAAGAAGAGAGAGAAAATAATATAAGTGTTGAAAGAAAAAGTAGTTTCAAAAAGTCTGTGAGTACTGCTGATGATACTTCTAAAAAGGAGATTACAGACCCACAACTTTTAGCTCAATTAAATAAAGCGAGACCAATTACAAGAGAAGTAAGACCAATAAAACCAGTAAAAAATGTGTCTGTTCCCTTGTCTAGTTATATTTTAAAAGGAAAAATTAATTATGGTAAATTGCTGACTGATGAAGTTCTAGCTGCTGACCAATTGCTTGTGGAAGCTGCCAAACGTTCTATGAATGTTGCTGGAACAACTGCTCTGATTGCTGTTTTAGAGGATAATAATCTTATAGTTGCCAATGTGGGAGACTCAAGAGGTGTTATGTGTGATTCCCGTGGAAATGCTATTCCAGTGTCTTTTGACCATAAACCACAACAGGTTTGTTTGTTATTCTTATATATTATTACTCAATTAGCTTTACAAAAAGTGTAAACTCTACATTATGATGCCAAATGAACTGCACATTTTCTGGTTCTATTCAAAGTTATTGCTAACATATTATTATGGAAAGAAACATTACATTCTATGTATGCAAGCAACCAATGTCAAGTAATAAATATTCGAACTCCGCTACCGAACGCGATTATCCGATCCGCATTGAGACCAAAGCTTAATTAGGATTTTAAAACATATTTTTATTTTAATTAATAATACATTTTATTTATATTTAAAACATGTGAAAATTTCATGTTTCTTTCATTTAATTCAATAAAAAATATCAATATCAAAACTAGCTTTTATTCTCTCTCTTTTAAAAAAAACGACTATCCGAATATTTGATTATCGAATGGGTCCCGGTCCCCATTAATTCGGATAATTGGAGTTCTACTGTAATTTCTTAATTTATAGGGAGTTAGATGTAAATCGTAGTTTAGACACTGTATTAAATATTATCACTAATTAAATTTTGCTTGATTCTAAAAGGTTTTTATCTTGCTAGGAGGTTATAATTATATTGTGTGAATGACTCTAATTGCTTATGGTCACTATATGTTACATTATTAATTTAATTGTGTAATTATTTTGTTTTGTGTTGTTACTTGATCATGTTTATTGGGTATGAAGTCTGTAATAATTTTTTTTCTATGGTTCAGGTTCGAGAACAAAAAAGAATAGAAGCTGCTGGTGGCTACATAGCTTTTAATGGAGTCTGGAGAGTAGCTGGAATCTTAGCTACATCTCGAGCAATGGGTGACTATCCATTAAAAGATAAAAACTTTGTTATTGCTAATCCTGACATTTTGACATTTAATTTAGAAGACCATAAGCCAATGTTTTTAGTCCTTGCCTCAGATGGTTTATGGGATACCTTTTCAAATGAAGAAGCTGTTAAATTTATAAAAGAGAGATTAGATGAACCAGACTTTGGAGCGAAAAGTTTGACACTCCAGGCTTACTATAGAGGTTCCGTTGACAACATCACAGTATTAGTTATTAATTTTATGCAAGAGAAATATACCACCGCAACTCTCACAGAATAATCATATTATTGGTGTTGTAAATGTGTAATGTTTATGAGCAAATTTAATAAACTTGAAATTTGCTCATAATTGTCTTATGTGGTGGTATTTTAAAGGCCAAAGGAAATGCAATGTGTTTCCACCTATACTATACAATTAATGTTGTACATTAAAATTTTCACTTCAAGTCAAATTGGCAGTTTTGTACTTACATACACAATAATCAAACAGCCTTTTCATATAAATATTGAAATCTTATTTATTGATGTTTGAATTAACAGATTTAATCAATACTGAATATTTTTTCAAAATTTTCATATTTTCACTTATTGTAAGTAGATGTCTAGTAATAGAAGATTGATATTTTGAAATATGTGTATTTAGAAATCGAATATAAGTGGTTGTGATTGTGGAAAATGTTTAACCTTTTTAAAACATAAAGAATTTACATTTTAACTAAAAAACCCAAACTATTGTTGTCAAATATTTACATCCTTTTCCTTACGAAGGCTTAGATGTTCCTAATATTAGTTTTATAGTGTTGCACGTAATTCCTTAAGGGCATTTGTTAATGAGTTTTGATGTTAATCTTTTTTTAGTGCTTTACCCTGGCCTCACGTTTTTATTATGTATTGTATCTTCCGGTACTATTCGCGGTGATTGATAAGGAAGCAAAGAGACTTCTCTGCCTACCAACTTTTGTTTCGCCGAATTAAAACCTCAAGAGTCACGTGACGTCACGTGATTAACCCACGGAGACTAAACTTCTGACGTAGGTTTTTGTATCTCAGGTGTGTGTGTTTTTTAACAATGGCGTCACAATGCGAGTAGCACTAAGTAGTTAAACATAAGCCCCCTTTACATAAAAAAAAAATAGTCTTGTTTTAAATAAAGTACTTATCTGTCTCCTAAAGAGTACTTTATTTAGAAAAAGACTGATTTGAGTTTTGTATGATAAAAGGGAAAAGAGGGGAAAGTGTTTATCTACATTATTAAGTTTCTATCCTAAATGTGACGTTTAAGAAAATAAATTTGTTAGCTATTAATATTTGCATTGATAAGATATAACTCATGCAATACCTGGCTGTTATCCAGTTGCAACTATGGATCTTCAAATAAAGATGACTTAGTGCTAATTATGAAATCGTTTGTGTTTATGTTGCCATTAACTAGTCATGTTAAATGTTCATATTAAATTTGTATTTACCTATTATTTGTGATAAATTACGTAAATGAATTAGGTAGTATTTTTATATTCAAACGAGTATGATTCAGATAAGTCAGTAAGGCCTATTTTATAGTAGAACAGTCTTTACATCTAGTCTCAAGTGGGTCCAACATTTCCATGAATTTATTTAGATTTTCTTTGGCAGCCGTCGATTTCTTAGCGGTAATTGATTCGCACTGACTACGTCACATTCACATACATCGTATTAAGAAATTTCAGTGGTTTATAATGTTACTATTGGTTTATTTAGTCGCAAGTCTTCTTCGTTGCGTTGCTAACTAACATGTTATAGCACCTACTTAAAATTCATCACAAACGCATATGCATGCGGTTAAGTTTTTGTAATTGGCACATTTTTGTTTAAGTCAGTATTCAATGGTGCTAATTCTGATGTAGGCGTATTGAAAATTAAATAATGTAAAGTGTTTCCCAGGACATTAATTAATTAACAGGGCCTTTGTTGTTTCCCCAATGACCACTGTGAATTTTGAAAGAACTACAATTTGAGTTTCGTCCTTAAGACGCCCCCCACCCCAAGACGTCATGTCTTGTGGTGGGCTAAGATTCAGAAATGAGACTTAGGGCATTTTACTCTTGGACGTCAAAAATGTATTTGAAGTATGTAGGTATACTTGCATCTGTCAAAATGAAAAGTAGGTATTTCGCGCTAAGTCTTCTTTCTGAATCTCACCCTGGTTAGGGAGTGCGAAACCTAAAAGTATTGATTTTAGAATAGCGGGCCTCTGTCTACATCATTTTTAGCACTATATTCTTACGTTCTAGGTGTTACCGTTGTTGTGTGATAGAAGTCGGATATCCGATACAAACCTTTTTTAATTATTCGTTTTTAATAACGAATTATTCAAATTTTAGGTCACAATACTAAAAACGGGATTCTTTTAAAAGACACACGTGTACGTAAATTTTTAATATGTGTTAACTAATACTGTGAATAAAGAATGTATATAAACTGTTTTTGATTTATCATGCCCCTCTAATAAAACAAGTCTTTCCAATTATCGGAAAATTATGTAATGTGACGTAAGCGCAACCCCCAAACATCCGCTATTAAAAGTAGTCAGGAGCTGTAAAGCTATTTTCATTTAGTTAACGTAACAAGTAACGCATAAATATCTCCAATAAACAAGACTCCGGTCTTTACAAATTTAACATAGTTCTATTGAGCTTTTCCACTACAAAATATTTTAGAAAGGGGTTTCACCATTGATATACAAAAAACCCAAGATGCACACTCAACGTCTAAAAAACGTCCTCAAAAAATGAGCGCAACATTCTAAATTGTGCGCTCATTTCAAATAGTCTCGCGTCTAATAAGTGGAGTCGATATTATTTATTTGTGTTTTTTTTTTATAAATAAATTTATGTACTTTTGAACTTTTTTGTGTGTAGTTTTTGACAAATATATTTACGCTATATAAAGTGTAGGTCAGGAGGTAGCCAATTTAACATTTTTTTTTTAATTTATAGAAAAAACTTTTTAAGCGGATTAAAGTTATGTATTATTATAAATTTACAACTATTTAACATCCAATACCTTTTGTTTTCAGTCACCGTGACCACGCACGCTGTAAAGCACCCGAAAAGTCGGATAAATTTAAAATTATGTTAAATAGTTGTAAATAAAAAAGTCATGTTCGACTCCACTCAATACCTTGTCCTACCGACCACGGTCGGTCGTAAAATTTTATTGCTTTAAGTACGTATACACTGCGTTGTAATAACAACTTTAAGCAATTCGCGTAAGGTTGATTTTGCAATAATATATGCTTGTAACATATACTGTTATAGACATACTGTTATAGAAAGGGACAGAAATAGTGTTTCGGGACACTTTCGAGCGTTACTTTTATTCGAGACTGTGCATCTTGGGTTTTTTGTATATCAATGGGTTTCACCTTCAAATTGTGGGATTTGGGTCTTAACATCTATATTCTCTATTTAAGCTAGTTTTTAATTTAATTTTGTATATTCTAGATGTAATATTTTATTGTAATGTTAATGTACATTACAATAAAATATTTTTCTTTACCTTCTATAAAAAAAATAAGAAATACTTTATAAACGTTAAAGCGGTCCACAGACGATGTCATGATGATATGTTAAAAACAAATCAGTCTGCAGAAATTTGAATTAAACTTCGAAACTATAATTAAACTGCTCTGAAACAACCATCTGCTGCGACTCATCGTGCCACTTATTAGTCTACTCAAGCTCAAGGCCCAATCACAATCAAGATTTTACCTCGGGCTTTTCACGAGGATATTTTTCTAGAGCCTCGGGGATTTATAAATTTGTCTAGAAATATTGAAATAAAACAAAACATAATTATTATAAATGTAATAAAACAGCAGAAGTTGATTATATGAATGACCTAAGTATTGTTCAATGCTTTGTGCATAGACGTCTAATGTGTCATATTATATAGGACAATACAATTAATGAGTAATATGTTTACAATTATTACAAAATGGCATAACAAAGGCGTTTGAACATATTAAGTACTAAATAATTTATTAATATAATTATTATACACATGGGTACCACATTATAATTTGTCATTAAAAAAATCAAAACATTTTTGTCTATTTTAAAGTGGAATGAACATTATATTTTAAATATGCATTAATATTAAAAACAATGAAATAAATTATGTCAAACATGAAATTATTTAAATAAAATCAATGTGAAATATCAACAAAATCTTACGTTTAATATGTCGTTCAATAAATTGTTTTTAAACAAATTTCAATTAAATATCGTAAAGTCTTGAAGCGTGTGAAGGATTAAACATTTCTTAAGTTACAACTACATTTTTTTTTAATTCCATAGAAAATTAGGTGGAAGGATAATTATAATTATTTATAAGTAATTAATAATTTTAGTAAATATGTGCGTACAAATTCATATATACGAAATCCTTATATCAATTGTCTAAGTCAGTGAGAGTGAACGTTTAGATCATAATTGACATTTTTACGTGTATTTTTCATGAGGTATAAAAAACTGTTAATTACTTATTAATGGCGAATAACATTTGTACCTGTGATAATACTTATTGATATTAATGCAAATCCGTGATTGCATTTAAACTTGTTAAAACAAAAACTACAAAACAATTTTAAGCGGATCGTGAAACCTGTTATTTTTGTCAATGTTTTAAAACAATGAATAAGTATTAATAGACATGTAATATATTTAATAAACACAGAAAAACGAACAACATTTAGCTGACAGTGCCTGTCTAGAATCATATATTTTGAATATTACTTTTATCCCTTAGCACAAACAATGCGTTGACTATTGACTCTGGGTGTATGGAACTAAAGTGTGCTTTTAGTATAGAGTACGTATATTATATGTACAGGGTTTCTGCTAAGGGGAAATATAGAATTGAAGTGAGGTTCATACGGATGTTATGAGGACCTACAATTATAATAATATGATATTGTCAGATAAAGTTTTTGCTGGCGGCGATCCGCAAACAGCAGTAGGTGTAGGCTATTTTTTTTGCTTGTGTATGGGTAAATAAGTATCGCAATAAACTATGCTAATCTAAATTTGTGCGGTTAAAAATGTATTACAAAGACGAGGTGTTATTAAAAATGTTGATTAATTACGCAGTCTTTGGTATATTATCGATCGCAGTGATAAAAAAGCATCAGATCAGTTTCTTAATATATCTTACAAATACAATTGTCTAATAGAAGAAAATTCTACGCCGATTTGCCTTTAGGCTGTATTAGACACATCAATTTCTAAATTCGAAATTGACTACATCAGTAGTAATGAACTATTTCTATATTTCGTGGCTTGTAATGTGGGTAGTACAAAAACTTACAAAATTTGGCTCGGAGAAGGTAGTCAATATCAGACTTATCGCCTTTTTAAAATGTATTAATAAACGGTAATGGTTACCATGGTTACCATTTTGTCTATTGAAATAATATAACGGTTAGAAATACGGTAGGTTAATTAATGTTTTTACAATAAGGCCGATGGGGTTTGAAATCAATTTCAAAGTTAAGGCCAGCCCAAACCACCGTCGCTAGAAGGCAAATATTTAAATTTATATATTTGACCTTCTGGAAGGAGCTTCGCTCGCTTAATTAGCCGGGACTTTACGCACAACGGACCAAATGGGCGTCTAAGAAAGGAAACTGAGCCCCCTACATACATCTTTGTCCGTTCTAGTGGATGGTATTAATCCTGTGATCAATACAAAAACCTGCCGTTTTTGTACTATCAATGCGACTTAATCTGTCAGTTCTATAAATTTATTTGGCGTTAATGGAAGGTACGTGTCGAAGTACCCTCTGAAAACTTAAACGCGTAGCATACTTGTATTGTAGGTTTTAGTGACAAATAAAGATTATTTTATAATTTTCACGTATTATTTCAAAGCAATTAGACGATACTATTACTTGCAAGATTTTGTGAAGGGCTTGCATACTAGGCTGATCTTTAGGTTGCAGCATAATGAATTACAGAAAAATCTGATGTTAAGGATTATTTCAGGGTAACTAGTGCTAAGTTTACCAATGACAAGAATTTCCCGTAATTTCTCCAGACTATAGAGCGATGCTGAACGGAGTTATAGAATTGTCGTGATACGGAAACATTTCATTATTTGAACAACGGTCGCAAACTCCTGTAACTGTGTAACCATAGACAATGAACTTTAGAAACTCATTACTAAGCATTACTACAATCAAGTTCCACGCCAGTAACTGTGGTACTCAGGTTACCGTTGACGAGTATGTCGTGTAAGGGTTGTCCTAAGAGTGAAGAAAGAGAATCGCTCAGTTTGAGATAATTCGCTTCAAGAGCCTCGTGGTAGGAGTGTTGGTCGGAACTGATCAGTTTAGCGTTAAGTTGCAAGGCCGAGTGACATACGGTTAGGAACTCTCTGAAAGGTAAAAAATACTTTATAGTTTAACAATTCTATCTAATAAGACTATGGTGCATATTGTAATTCGTATCTCAAGTCAGTACACATACAACATCGTTGTGAGCGCTGTCAAATATGTCAAACTTGATACAAAAAATGGTTTGACAGCTTTTAACAAGATTTAAGATTCTTTGACGGCCTATAATTCTTGGTAACTGTTATTCTACTATATTATCTGACATGTTCATTTACATGACAGCACGGGCAAATTTTCCAAAAGGAAACAATGATTATTTCACTAAATGTCAATACTTTGATACAACGACAACTGTAAAACCGTAATTCATGTACATTCTATTTAAACAATTTGAAGAGGTATTGTGGTAATTAGAAGTTTTAAATTCTGCAAATTACTCAGTGCAGTTACAAATACAACAATGAATTTTAAGTATTAAAAAGTACCATAACTTAAAAAACACTATAGCAGTTAAATAAAATGCTGTTTAATATTAATTTTTTTTTTCCAATTTTTAAAAAAATATATGAGAAGTTTAAGAATTCCCACATCTGAACAAGATCGATTAATAGTTGCAAAGGCAACTTTTTATCCGTAGTATATCAAACCTCACAATAATAATAGATAATAAATTAAACTTACTTGAAAGTAGCCTTGAGTTTGTCCACCAAGTCATCAGGATACATGGGCGCGAGCGTTGGATCAAGAAATGCGTTCGCGTACGCGATCGGACCCGCATTTACTTGGACGCACACGCTGCCTTGAAGTCTGAAAACCAATTTTAAACGTTGCAAATAAACTTAGTCAAGTGACCGTTACAGAAATAACAAATATTTCAATATCACGAACAATATATCGAATGAACTGTTTTATTGTTTTCTTTAATTACTTTATTTTGTTCTTATAGCTGGCATCACTGTCTAATAATTCCAGGTTTAGTATACCTTTTAAAAAAATAAAATGTTATCTTTACTTTTGCGTTTTTTATTGTTTGTGATGAAAAGGGACATAATTATCACTCGCCGTAAAACCACTTTTAATGTGGACCATCGCACTTAATAAAATGGATACATTCACTAATAAATAAATGTATGAATAGACTCAGTATTGAAATTGAATAATGTGCCTGGCCAAAAGGTTTGTCATCTCTGACATCTCACAAAATGATATCTGTCAGAATTCTACAAAATTAAAAATCATAGTATAATTAAGTTTATCGTTACCTGAGTTGCAACTTCTTCAAATCAGGCGTCTTAGCGTGGACGATCTCATTCAGTTCATTGACTTGACTCTCCATTTCAGCGACTGCGACCTCTATTGGACTCTTCTCCTCAACTTGACATTCGCTCACCGGTATACGCCGTTTGACGTATGGAAACCAGTTTTCGGCTGGAACATTGTTGAACTTTTATGTTAGATTTTTCCTTGTATTCATAGTAAAAAATTGTTATGATTTTGCTCAAACATCCTAAGTTGTTTGTATATGTTCTAATAAAATAATTCGCCTCATAATAAGATTTTAAATTCCTATTCAGTTTAACGTAGATATATTTTTAATTGAAGAAAACTATTTTAATTTATTTACTTACTATGGGCAGATAAAATGGCTTTTACTGAAAAGAGCTGGTAAGGTAATTTTTAAAGATATATTAAATAAAAAATGTCGCAAGCGGGATCTTATGATTTGGTAAATGAAGATAGATATCTTGCAAAGGCGTCTTACGCCTATGACTTCCCAAGCATGTTTATATTTCTAAACCATATTGTATAATTATATTTCTTCATTATTTAAATAAATCTGGTGTTAGCTAACAATGCGTTTTATCGTTTTTTATTTTATCGAGTACCCTACTCGATAGTCTAAACTCTAAACGTACCAAGAACAAAATATTTTTTTTGACAGTTTCATCAATTTTTTTTGTGTCTGCAAATATAAACATTTTAGTTTGAGGATAATTGTTATAACAGGTAAATTTTAATATTTAAAAAGTACCTGTAAGATGTGTAAGCCTCAATCTTTGATGATGTACAGGTCCTCTTGCAGCGCCATCTCTCGTAAATGGTGTTTCAAACACGAATCGTCTGATATTATGAGCTCTTTCGAAGGAACCCTCAGCACTCGATGAGCAGGCCAGCATACCTTCGGGCGCTGCCCGAACCCAGGTCACTTGGATATACGCTAGTTTGGTGTCTAATTCGTCACGATTTACCTAAAAATTGTATATGTTTTGTTATAAGTAAACTGGTGTACGATGAATTCACGGAATATCAATGCGATATGTTTTATCGCGGGTTTACGCGTTGTTTATTTTCTAACCCGAAAATTATAGATTGATTTTATTTCGTTAGTTATTAATAACGTCGTAGGAAGTATTACTTCTAAACTTATATCTTTATTGATATTTGAGCTGGTTTGATAACATCTTACCGCTTTAAGAGCAAGACAGTTTTGCTGTAATATATTTTAGCTACAACAAATTAAATATTTTATTAATCATTTCAAAGTGCCGTTCACTTTAACAATTTAATTAACACTCGTTATATTAGGAAAAATTAATACTTCGAGAAATTTAACGCATGCCTAATTAGTATCATGGTAGATATCCTTTTCAATACGAGAAGTATTAACCCTGTTAATAACCTAGAAATCAGAATAGATTTTATATACCTGGTCCAAGCGATACATATTTTGGAAATACAGTTATTTTATATTGTGTTTACTCACCGGCGCCGAATCCATAATCATCTTAACGCAGCCCGAACCCAATTTCTGTTCATAAAACTGTTGAAGTCTTTCTGATATCTCGCTCAATGACGTCAGTTTAGGTTCTTTATAAATAAACTCGATGCCTTCTTCATCCTCGCCGAAGTGCGCCTTTCCGAAGAACGCCACGCGATAAAATCTTCCGAGCAATCGCTTCCCAGAATTTGTAACTTCGATGACCTTTGCGTACGCCTTGGTCAAATGTTGGTAACCGGTAAGGAGTGCTTGGTAATCCTTTCTCCTTTCGTAAATTGGTATAATAAGGCGATAAATGGGACCAAGGAGTTCGTATCTCTCTGCTCTATCTACATATTCTGTGCACAGCATGAGCTGATCGAGCAGAGCTTGCTCGTTGTAATGAATGTCTGTCATTCCTGTAAAAATATAATTTATTTGTAAACGCATTATGTATGTGTATGAAACAAATAAAACGCAAGCAAGGTTGCATATTCTGTGATAGGACTTAATTCAGTTAATTGCCCGCATGACATATTTATGTCATCATAAATTATAGCATATATTATATGAACAAATTTTATAGGTTACAAACCTTAAATTCCCTGGCTTTTTAACTCTGTATTACTATGATTTTAATTAAATAACAATGATGAATTTGATGTAATAAGGAGTAAGGAGTATCTGAAGCGTAACTTTGTTGATTAAATATGGATTGGACTCGGACAGACGCAATCAAATATCAATAATTATACATCAAGTGCTCTTATTGAACCGTCTTAAGAAAGCATTTTATTTTTGCTTTAGCTCAAACGATACGAAAAACGAGTTCCTAATTCAAATTAGATACACGTACTATATATTACATTTTATGCTAAAACTTGATCAAAAAAGTTAATGAATAAGGCTTTGGGCGATATATAAACGAGAAATGATGTGCATAGCTACAGTCGAAATTTAGACGCGTCCACGAGTCGATTGTGAATTGTTAAAATGAGATGCTTTGTGGTGTTTTGTTTATCTTGCATTTGTGTGTGTGCTGGATTTGCGGTAAAAGAAAATCTATCAGATAGTCAAGAACCTAGAGCCGCAATCTCGGATATGGTTATGGCTTTTGTGGTAGGTATATGAGTGATTTAAAAAAATACTTTATTAAGAATAATAAAAGTTAGGGTAAGATTTTTGATGCTTTAGTGGAAAATCTGACACTCCTACATATATTATACCGATTTTTTTTAACCGGGAAATATAGCCTAAACCCCCTTGCATGCATAGTCAGACGCTTATCTGAGCTAAGCAAATAAAAAAAAATAGAATTCTATCAAAATCGCAATTAGACTATGCTAATATGTATTTTAAACCACTTACGCTCGTATTCTAGAAGGTCAATAAAACTCAAGAGCTGTCAAACAAAATTTTCTGTATGAACATATTTTACAGCGACACGAGATTCTGACTGACAGAGCAGTGCTGGCCTAGTGGCTTCAGCGTGCGACTGTCATACCTGAGGTCGTAGGTTCGATCCCCGGCTGTGCACCAATGGAATTTCTATTTATGTGCGCATTAAACATTTGCTCGAACGGTAAAAGAAAACATCGTGAGCAAAACCGACATGTCTTAGACCCAAAAAGTCGACGGCCTGTGTCTCACCTACTTTCCTATTAGATTTTAAAATTATCGTGAAACAGATTCAGAAATCTGAGGCAAAGACCTAAAGAGGTTGTAGCGCCACTGATTTATTTTTTTACGAGATTCTGACTATACAAATTAGATTAATTATAAGACTGGATTAGAAGAATTATAAGAAAACATTTACGACTAACAATTAATTTTCAAGGTTTTTCGACATGGCGACAGAACACCTGACCAAGAAGAGCTGGATAAATACCCTTCATCAGATCTAAATTCGAACATATTCTTTCCATACGGCAAAAAGTCTTTAACCAACGTAAGTCATTAAATTAAAATGTAAATTTTGTCGCGCTCTTATTTCCTGTAGATAATTGATTTAACGTAAAAAATTCTGTCAACCTTAAATAATGCTCTTGAATTATAATTTCATTTACAATGTTTTATTATTATTATTATTAATTAACAAAAAAATTATTAAATGAAAAGTATTTTCATAGCATATGGAGCAATTTAGTCTTAATAAAAAAAAGCCTATATTCGACTTAGGGTCCTTCATGAAAAGAGCGTACCAATTCTTAAAAGGCCGGCAACGCACTCGCGAGCCCTCTGGCAATGTGAGTGTCCATGGGCGGCGGTATCACTTAACATCAGAGATCCTGCCCGTTTGTCTCCTATTAGGTACCTACATAAAAAAATATATTGGAGTACTATAATAAGAATTACATTAAGTTTATGTTATTATATTTAATATCACACGACCTCCCACGGAGTGAAGGCTTCCTTCAAATTCTTCCATTTGTCTCTCCTCTTCGCTACTATTTTCAATCTTTCCCCGAGTTCGGTGGCGGTTGTTGGAGGGGTGTTTAAATATATCTTAAATGAAACTCTTTGTTTGAAGCTGGGTGTTAACTGGCTTTAATCGTTTAAAACATGGGCTTATATATAACATAACATTAGGGGTAGGGTTGCGACGCTAGCAAAAAACTAACTTTACTTATTTAAGGGTTCTGAAATCTTAGTGACACTTCAGTATAAGTGTAGTTGACCTATTGGGTACACACTACACACGGGCACATTTTTACTAAATTGACGTTTTACAATTTATTGGATACAAGTGTTAGTAATCAACTTATGATTACTAACATATGGTTTGCGGTTCTAATTCTAAACTAAAAATTATATATGTAACTTAACTAATGTTAGGTTACATAACTCCCGCTATCTCTTATTTCATCTTCTGCAGAAACCTGCTCTGGAGGGCGCCCTCTCTTTTATCTTCCCACTAGGCCATTTTAAAAAGGGTCTTGACCCATTTGTCATCACAAACGTGGATAATGCCACATTTGAACTAAAGCTTTTTTAAGTGTGTTACGACGTCTGTTTTTGTAAGGCTTCGTATTACACTGCTTTAACTGTATATTTAATTTACAACCAAATAACTATTTAATCAACATTACTATGCTTTTAAAATCTCTTTTTTCTCACATATAAAATGTATCGTACTAAGCAAGCGTATTTTTTTCAATATTATTAAGGAACTGTCTTAAAGTATTATTAAAATTTAATACGTACAAGAAATAGCGCGAAATTCATAATGTTACAGAAGGGAAAGCGACGAGCATTTAGCGTAGGGCAGTACTTGAGGAAACGTTACGACAACATTATATCAAAACTCTACTTGCCTGAGGAGATAAACATACAAACAACTGACTATGCTCGGACAAAGATGACCGCATTATCTGCTCTATCAGCCCTTTACCCGCCACCACCACTTCAGCAGTGGCTTCCTAACTTCAATTGGCAACCAATACCTTACGACACGGCACAGCGCAGTGATGATTATGTAGGTGGTATGTTTTTAGGTTCATTTATAAAGCTAGATCCGCGGTGAATATCATAAGTACTTACTTATACATCCCAGAACTACTAGGTAGTTAAATTATAAAAAGAAAGCTATATACACATACAATGTTATATACAACCGCAGCCATTTTTCATTCGCAAATATCAATCATAAAATAAAACATGTTTCTTACTATGGTTACGATTTTTGTAACATCTTTATTCCCCGTCTTATACCGTAGCTGGTTTAATAATAAGTGTAATTCACACTTGCGACTGGCGGTTTTTGCTTATTTCGAGGAAAGTTCAAGGTTGCTAGACTGATCAACTTTATATTGTCAGGGTTATAATTTTTAAATATCGAATTTAAATGCAAAGTTAAAATTGCCAAAGAAATAAAAAATATTTTTTTATTAGAATACAAATTCGTAGTATAAATTTTGATTTAAACGTCAATGTTCAGTGGAGAGGTACAAGTAGACAAAAAAAACTTTTTTGTTTTTTCAGTTCTTGCACTTCAGTAACTGTCCAAGATATCTTCGACTAAAAAATGAATTATATAAATTACCAGAAATCGATAGCTATTTGAAGTCATCACAGGATCTCTTCAGATTTCTTAGTAAAAACACCGGAAGTAATATAACGGTGCCCGAAGATGTATTCTTTTTGGATAATTTATTTCAAACTCTGGTAAGTTTCATTTTCATAATTCACTTTCTTTTTGAAATGCAACAAATAGCTGATTTAAAAAAAAAACATAAAAACATTTGAATTCAAATTTTAATGAATTTCTAAAGATAAAAAGTATTACAGTATACACAATGATACGAATAAGAGTATTCTATAAATACCTGTAGTGCTTTGGTGAAAACCTATGAAAAACCTTGTTATATATATACATATGTTTGAGGTACATTTGTGTGAGTGCACATTAGTCTTAAGCTAAACTGTGGTATGTGGAAAAAAGAGTACGCCAGAATAGAGTATCTTCCCCTTAATAGAGACTAAAATATCCTATTAAGTAAATTAGGTTAGTTCATTAGTGTTAAGTTAGGCTAGATTGTAATGTTAAATGATGTCTTTGTGCAGAGACAATTTATAAAAAAAATTATACAAAGAAAAACAATTACGATTGATTACCCTAACAATACGCAATTACACTTATTACAACAAATTTCAGAATAATGTCAATGTTCCAACGCCGAAGTGGGCCGAACAAATTATGCCAAAGATAAAAGAAATGACTAAGATCGAGTACATGCTAATGTATTACACAGATGAGCTGATAAGATTATCCGCAGGTAACATACAAATATAACAAAAATAGGCATAAAGCTTTTTCGAATAAAAAGAATCAGTAAAACAAGGAAAACAAACGTGATTATAGATAAATAATGTGTTTGAAGCATAGTCACGTGGGTGGATTTTTAAGTTTACGATAAATCCTTGAGAAGATAACAACATTTTGGGTAATAACACAAGTTTTTTTGCCTGCTAAGAATGCCGCTGTCGCCCTAAATCACACGTGGAATCCGCGTTTATAATTTTATAGAATGGATCATTCACTTTTTATCACATTTTTTATAAATATTTTACGTTTCGCTTTTGACGGTCTATATGTCTATCTATCTATAATATGTATGTATATTCGTTGCCTAGTACCCATAACACAAGCTTCACCAGCTTAACATGGGACTAGGTCAATTGGTGTGAATTTTCCAAAAAAAAGGAAAAAAAAAAAACGTTTTCGACATCCGTAAAATTACACCAATTTTGCATCAACTAAGCTATCATAGTTCATGAAACTTTATATGCTATTTCAGGAGGCTTACTATCAGATATATTCAATGTAACGAACGCGAAAGTCAAGGAAGGCAAGAAACAGCCCAAATTGTTCCTTTACTCTGCACATGAGAACAACGTTGCTGCTCTTCTAGCAGCCACAAGAACCTTCATACCTCATCAGCCCAAATACGGTTCCACTGTATCTCTGGAGCTTTGGAAAAACCGCATGACCAACGAATATTCTTTTATGGTAATTTTCAGCCACATGTAACTAAATTAACTACTGGTTGGTATAGATTTTCTTTTCTTTTGGGCTTAGAAGTTCATATGAATACTTCAGAATGATATAACATATTATATTATTAGTATTCGATTTCAAGCACTTGTGTATACCTTTGCTGTTTAGGTATGTTTCTTATTTTTATTATTCCTATGATAAACGTTTGGAAACATGATAAATAAATAAATTAACAATAAAATAGGAATAGGAGGCAGAAAATTGTATGTTTCTGTTTGTAAAAACAGTATAGAAAAACTTATTCACATAATGATATTCGATTAGTCGCAATGAAGCAGATTTATCTAATATTAGGTCCTTACATATGAAATTGGCGTTTTGTATGGGAGGAACAAAAAGTCGAATATTTTTAAACATAATATATTTAATTAATCAAAGTATGAACCATTGTTTTCTATGCACTTTTGCCATCTCATAGGTAGTTCATTGATCCCTTTACTAAAAAAACCAGTCGGACGGGAATCAATAAAATCTGTGAAGGCGATTTGGACTGCCCCATCAGAGTTAAATTTTTTCCCTTGCAAGAAGTTGTCCAAATTTCGACAAAAATGGTAATCTGTTGGAACAAGGTCCGGGGAGTACGGAGGATGTCTTAGACATTCCAATTGAAGCTCTTCTAATTTGGTAGCCGTCTGTTGTGCAGTGTGTGGTCTAGCGTTGTCGTGAAGTAGCAGTGGCGTGGAGCGATTGACCAGCCTAGGTTGTTTAGCCGCTAGCTTTTCCATCATGGTTTGCAATTGCTGACAATAGACATCAGCCGTAATAGTCTGGCCAGATTTGAGAAAACTGCAATGAACAATACCGGCACTAGTCCACCAAACGCTTTCAAATAACTTTTTTGGGGTTAATTTTCGCTTGGGGCAGGATTTGGCTGGCTGGCCAGGATCCAACCTTTGCGCTGAGCGCTTTCGATTATCGTAAAGAATACATTTTTCATCACAGGTAATGATTCGGTTTAAAATACCTTCATTATTGTGCCGGTTCAGTAATGTAACGTAGCAGTCCACGCGCGTTTGCCGGTTTGCTTCAGTCAATTCGTGAGGTACCCATCTTTCAAGCTTTTTAATCTTCCCAATTTGCTTCAAGTGAATTTAAACTGTTTTATCACTAACACCGCAGCCTGCAGCTAACTCGGACGTGGTTTGCGATGGATCCGCTTCCACAATAGCCTTCAATACTTCATTATCAACTTGGGTCTCAGGCCGTCCACGGGCCTTGTTCTGCAGGTCGAAATTTCCAGAACGAAAACGTTGGAACCAAAAACGAACTGTGTTTTCTTTTGCAACATGACCGCCATACACATCATTCACCCTTCGAGTCGTTTCCGCAGCACTAGTGCCACGGCGGAACTCGTACTCGTAAATAATGCGATACTTAAAGTTTTCCATTTTGTAAAATGAGTGACGCAAACAGAAAAAAACAGAAGAAAAAAACAAATGAATGACGGTCATCGAAGCACAAATACATGAGTAAATAGCTGTACAAATTTGAATTTGGAATTCCTTACCAAAGAGGAGAACATCGTGATTAAAGTGGCCAGTACGAAAAACGCCAATTTCATATGTAAGGACCTAATATAATAAAATTCTCGTGTCACAATGTTCGTTCCCACACTCCTCCGTCCTCCTAAGTCTGAGAATCGGAGCAAGGGTCCACCCCAAAATATTTATTTTTATTGAAGTTATACTTCTTTAGGCGCGTTATGAAAAATTGATGAGAGTGAAATTTTACGATGAGGGCGTACCGTGACACAAAAGTAACAGAATGAAGTTCCTCACGGAAGATGCTACGGCATTGGACATAATTTAAAAACAACATTTGAATAATAATAAATAATTATTTATTTAATTTTTCAAATGTAAACTGAACTTTATTGACTATAATGACTCCTTTTCCAGTCTTTGATTATTTAATTGTAATTAATTATTTGCATGCAATCAAAAACTATTTTTAATAATGCCAAAGAAGTATAACTTCTTACGCGCGTACATAAGTACACGCACCCTTTCTTTTTTTTTATGATACAGTATTCAAAAATACATACAACCCTTAATTTTCATCTACCCTCTAAGATCAACCCCTATTTTTTATTTGTTAGTTAAGAACTTATAACTTGAACTGTAAGGTTTATATAGAGAAAAATCACAGTAAAACCTAAAAAGTCTAAATGTACTAAAAAGGTATGCTAGGCAGGCATTAAGTAGAAACGAAGTTCGCGGGGGCAGCTAGTAATATAATAGTGTCATCTTGAAACACTTTACAAGTAACGAAGGAGTTACAATACAAAACCATTTAAATTTTTTCATGGTATATATTTTAGAACAGCCGTATATATTAGTATCTCATAAAGCTTTTGGATGACCAATCATTGGATAAAAAATATATTTTAGGTTGTGTACGCACCCGAAGCGGGAGGTGATGGAGTGATGTTACCAGTTAATGGATGCGGAAATAGGTATCTTTGCGACTACAATACATTCCTCAAACTAACCCAAGATTACGTGTTACTCCATAGCGAATACAAAAAACGCTGTTCTTAGAATAACGAACAACATAGCACGTAACAGTTTTGCAATCCAAAATTAGCTATAAATGTTATATAGTATTATTGTTTAATTTGATATGAAAAAGTTATTTTATATTTAATATTGTTTATAATATTTTTATATTATAGATATTATGTATCTAACCCTAATTAATTCAAGAAAAATATAAATTAACAAAGTCGTCGTAGAAACATCGTGTATTAATATTATAATTAAAGTAATTAATAGAAAATATATAATTTACATATATATAATATATATATATATATATATATATATATTTAAATTTACATCACAAACAGTTTTTCCTCAAGCATATAATAACTTATATGTATAAAAAGCATATTCATACATTATCTCAAAATTATATGGTTGTCATTTTTAGTAAGTATATACTTTATTGCTTACAATAAACAAGTTTACATTAACTAATAAATAGTTTGTGACTGTGTGTGTGTTTTATTTGTGTCTATTTTAATGACGAGTCAAGCATTTTCATCGCATTTAACCTTGAGGTAGTGAGTTTGATTTTTAGGGATATATTAATTATGTTATAGATTGAAATGAGCAGTGTTGGCCTAGTGGATTTAGCGTGCGACTCTCATCTGTGAGGTCGTAGGTTCGATCCCCGGCTGTGCACCAATGGAATTTCTTTCTATGTGCGCATTTAACATTCGCTCAAACGGTTAAGGACAACTTCGTGATGAAACCGGCTTGCTTGCTTGCGGCTTAGACGACGGCTTAGAAAAGGCGACGGCGTGTGTCAGGCATAGGAGGCTGATCTTACTTACTTGCCTATTATATTGACAAATGATCATGAAACAGTTTTAGAAATCTGAAGCCCAGACCTAAAAAGGCATGCCGGTGTCCTTTTTTTCCTTTACCGAGTGTTAAATGCGCACATAGACAGAAAGTCCCTTGCTGCACAGCCGGAGTTCGAACATACGACCTCATGAATAAATCGCACTGCTCTTTGGAACGGATTTCGGGCAAGAAAAATAAAACATTCTAAAATTCAATGAAATTCTAAAACACAATGAATTTTTAGAAGTTCTATTTGTTAAGCGGACCCTAAAATTTTATTCCATACTCTTGACATACACTGAGAGGGACCTGCGATAATCGAACACTATCACATCGCGATCTTTTCAATATAACTTGATATAAACTAGACAGTGTCAGGAGCATGGCAGTCGAATTCGACTCGCGGTAGCGCGCGCTACCCAATTGAGAGTCTTATCTTACATAAGATGGGTTCGTTTGTTGTATTTTGTTTACTCCTAGTGGCTGTGTCTTGTGAACTCAGCTCACCTCCCATAGGAATCGGGATGGAACAGGATAACAATCTCGAGTTAGGAGACAACTTGACTAACACTGATGTTTTGATGGCTTTTGTGGTATGTATCATGAAAGCGTAGCATGATCGTTAATCTTATAAATATTGACGTCAATTGTCAAGAGGTAATCAGATGGTAAAGTAACTCTTTCATATATATAAAAAAATACAATTTTTCAAGATGGTTTCAGTATTTTTTGGACCACCAACCGTTCAAAAACTTTTAAAGCATTTCTCTACAATTTCAAGAATTAGGGTACAAATAAGTTCATGACTACTATGTATCCCGTAACTTCTGGATACAGGTTGGGACCATTTTATACCTAAAGGTCACCAGTAGATCCAATGAGAACTGCGCTTCCCGAAACCTTGAAACGTTTTCAATTGTAAACCTATGCCTATTATACCTATATCGTAAGCCAAGCGATAGAGCGAACAATACTGATAAATTAACAATAATAATAAGACTGATACTAAAACCCTTTTTGGGTGTCCTAATGTTTCTGCATATTTTTCATTGATCAATTTTCTTTATATATACGTAGTTGGTCCCAAAGTTCTGTCACTAGCAAATTATTTCTACATTCGGGCAGGATTTTATAAAAAAATTATTGCATTCTATTTGGAATGTTTGATTATTGTTTTAAAACAAAAAAATAACTTTCCGTAATTTTTCACATGGAGTGGACATTGAAAGTAAACCGAATAGTTGTTATTGCGTTGCACCGCTGTGGACACTCGCCAGTACCATTTTCAATTGCTCAAAAATTTGAATATAACGCTAGGTTTGTGTACTACTTGATAGGTACCTTAAGTTAGTGAGGAGAAAAGAATACTGCCACGCCCCAAGAACACCACTATCAAGCTATCAAGCGCGGATAGTAAGAAATCCTGTCAAAGTTGATGGATTTGCAGATGGGTGTCAGAGGAAAACAGTAAAAAGGTTTTAAATGAAGATCTTGGTCTACACATACAAAAAAGAGTGGGCACTTACTAATCTCGTCTAAAAGCAATAAGGCTTAAGAGATCGCGGGTGTTGTTTAACGTACGCGAAAACCGACACCTATATCCTCTTTACGGACGAAAAATTTTTCGATATTGAAGAGAGTACAATAAACAGAATTATACAGTTACCTAGAGTTCTAAGACCTGAAAATAAAGTTCCAAGGTCACATGGAATTCCTCTCAGTAATGGTTTGTTGGGAGTGTCCTATTACGGGCTAACTGAGGTTAATTTTTTCGAAAAGGGGTCAAAACCAGTGCTACAGTGTACCAAGAGACGGTTTTGTATCGCCTTGTCAAAGACATGTCCAGCACCCTATTTGCGGGACATCACTTCGTTTCCACAGGACTCTGCGTCTCATACAAAGCCAAACCACTAAACCTGGTTAGTCAAACATCGTCTTAATTAGACATGAGGATTGGCCTTCCTCCAGTCCGACCTTAATCCTTTGGACCGAAAATTATAACAGGGCTTAGAGAAGAAGGTCTGTGATAAACCTCATGAAAATTTGGAGAATCTGAAGTCATCTTTAAAAAAACCAGTGACTGAAATCGACACGAATATGGTGCGTGCTGCGATAGACGACTGGCCGCGACGCTTAAGGGCCTTATTAAAAATGAGGGAGGTTATTTCGAATATTTTTATGCTTTTTTTATTCCTTAATTAATGTACTAAGAATTGATATATCACTCATTACAAACTGATCAGTACTTTTGTTTTTATCATTATTTCCATTTATGACAGAACTTTGGGACCGACTACGTATATACATAAAGAAAATTGATATATATATAGACAAGGTAATCAGCCTTCGGTGCCTGGCCCACATCACCAATTTTAATGATTTTCTCCGCGATGTTTAACACCGTACAAACAAGTTTTAATTTAAAGAATACATTTATGTATTTATTACCATACTTTTTAATAAAACAGGTATTCCGACACGGAGATAGAACCCCAGACTTAGATGAGATGGAAAGGTTTCCATCAAAAGAGTATACTATTAGCACACTTTTTCCATATGGAGCGAAAGCTCTAACCAACGTAAGTTATCCTATATTAATTATCCTTTCTTTAAAGAGTAAGATGTAATGACGCACCCACTTCTAAGAAAAAATCGTGGGAAATGCTCTAAGATCGACTAAATCTACTTGGGTAGGAAGTCCACATTTCGTAGTCCTCAGAAACAAGAACCAACTTTTTTCTTAATGATAATTTCATATTTTTAGAAGGGAAAACAGCGCGCATACAGAATCGGCGAATATATAAGAAAACATTACGGCAATCTTATCTCCAGTCTGTACCTACCTGACGAAATATACATACAGACAACGGGGTATGCACGAACCAAAATGACTGTTCTCGCCGCTCTAGCTGCCGTGTACCCACCACCACCAGCACAAAGGTGGAACCCCAGTTTAAATTGGCAACCTGTTCCTTATGACACACCATCGTACGAGAATGACGATGTAAGTTATAAGAGAAATGCTAGTTCCGGTAAAGGTAAAAAAACTAATCAGATTTATGTCAAGTCAAAATAACTTTATTCATATACTTAGGTAAACAAGTACACTTATGAACGTCAGAAAATTTATTACCAGTTCGCAAGTCAAGGGTGAAGAGCGGGCAAGAAACTTCCCGGCACTCTTTTTCATCGCTAAGTTTTGGGTCATACAAATGGTTTGAACTGGAGCAGATCAATACCAAGTATAAGGATCATTAAAATATTCGTCAAATGTATAAAAAGCTTTATTGATTAATTTACTTTTAACGAGAGCTTTGAATTTATTTAGTGATATTCTCCAATTTCGCTTGGAAGTTTGTTGTAAAAACGAATTTTTCAATTCATATAAGGAGTGGTTTATCTTCTGGAGCCTGGTTAGTCGTACACTTAAATTAGTTCTGTTTCGAGTATTATACTGGTGAAAGTCACCATTTGTTTTAAAATCGTTTCTTGCTTTTTGTACATACAACAACGATATCGATATCACGTGATATTGGCTCATCTTCCTTTCAACTAGAGCTTAATTGAGAGCATCTTATCTAATTGTATAATCCTAACGGTAATCAATAGATTGAGACAATTAGGTATGTTAAATGCAAATCAAACCGGACTGAACATTATTTTAGTTCCAGCTACGACTAGTTTCATACAAAATATTCAATATTTTTTTTTGTATGTTTTAGTTCCTTTACTATTATAACTGTCCACGTTATCTGAAAATACGCGAGAAAGTCTACGCGTTCCCCGAAATAAAGCAGATGATGAAACCGTATGAGGGGTTGTATGAATTCCTGAACACGAAGACTGATGTCAACATCACCACACCGGAAGACGCATTTTATCTAGACAACCTAGTTCAGGCATTTGTAAGAAAAATTATTATATCAATAGAAAAAGTTTAAATTTATCAAAGTATTTTTTACCTACACCTAACAGTATTTATAATTGTGAGCAGTGGTGGCCTAGTGGCTTCAGCGTGCTACTCTCATTCCTGAGGATATAGTTTCGATCCCCGACTGTGCACCAACGGACTTTCTTTCTATGTGCGCATTTAAATTTCGCCCGAACGGCGAAGGTAACCACCCAAAAAGTCGACGGCGTGTGTCCGGCACAGGAGGCTGATCTATTTGGCTATTAGATTGACAAATTATCATGAAACAGATCCAGAAATCTGAGTCGCAGTCCTAAAAAGGTTGTAGCATCGCTGATTTATTTTTATTTATTATATCTATATTTGTAGGAAAATGTTGGTGTACCACCACCTGCGTGGGCAAATGATGTGATGCCACAAATCAAAGAAATAACATTAATCGAATATATTACGCAATTTTACAACAGTGAAATGATTCGACTATCAGCAGGTAAAAAAGCCTTGCGCAGATCTATTAAAAACTTAATACGAAATAATATGTTTTTCTATTACAGGTGTGCTTCTAGCGAGAATAATAAACGCAACAAATAGTAATATCGCTGGCAATAAAGATTTACCGAAACTGTGGTTGTTTTCCGCCCACGAGAATAATGTGGCTGCCTTTATGTCCGCCGTCAGGGTGTTTAAGCCACATCAACCGATGTATGGAGCTACGATATCACTCGAATTTAGAAGAAATCGCATAACTGGCCAGTATGGGTTTACGGTACGATTTATGTTTTTACCGGCGTACGCCGAGGAAATTCTGTCTGTGAAATTTCAACGTAAAAACGTTAGACTGTATGACTAGAGTGTTTTATTATAAAGGACATATTTCTTCTTTAGGACAACAGAAAATATTTATACGCCGTAATAAGTTATTTATTTAGGGTTAAAAATTACATATTAGTAATACCTTTGTTTGTTATGTAAATAATAATAATTTTTAAATATAGAAACTGCTAATCAGATCTTCTGAGAAAAAAAAATTTAATTAGACCAGTGGCGCTACAATCATTTTAGCCGATTTCCTCACGATATTTTCCTTCACTGTTTGATCAAATGGTTAATGCGCACATAGCCATAATGTCCATTGGTGCACTGCCGGGGATCGAACCTACGACATCAAATAACTATAATTAGCAGATCATCAATTCGGTTGAATGGTTAGAATATAGTATTTTTTTCATTTTTAGAATAACTATTTAAGAAATTGTTACTCTTATAGGCCGTCTACGCTACAGATGTGAACTCAGGAAAGCCTGGCGTCGTGCTACCAATAGAAGGCTGTGGAGGGCAGCCATTTTGTGATTATGATACATTCATAAATCTTACAAAAGATTACGTTATTTCGCTTAATGATTTCAAAAAACAATGCTTTCTACCTGTTTCATAGATTTCAAAATTTGAATCAAAACGTTTTGCGAGTCAGTTTTGTAATTTTTCAAAACAATATTTGCATGCATAGATTTCGTACGTCATAGAAGCAACGGTCAATAAAATACGTATTTTTTACAAATTTAAAGATAATATGGTGTCATTTTAATGATTAATTAAAAGAATGCATTGCGTGGGACTAGAAATGCTGTCAACACATCACAATTAAACGGAATCGTCAATCGTTTCGTTGTTTTACTTTACTAAGTCTTTCCCTAACATTACGAGGCTTAGCGCTGTAAGTATCGGATGGATTTGGCCCTATAACTTGGCTGGATAAAACTCAAAATAATATGAACTTTTGACAACATTTTTGAGTGCGATTATTATGTCACCTATTTAAGAAATGTTATAATAAAAACTCCTGTGATAGATAATTTAATGTTTTAATAACATATGCTACTTATGATAACAAATGTTAGTCACTAAGAAAATTTCTTCAAAAGGTATACGTTTCATTTGAAATAAATTTGTTAACTTTGATTATTAAAAGAAAACATAAAACAGCCCCCTAATTTCATCATATTAAACTCTATTAATATACATGTTAATTATTTATCATTACACAAGATTTATCTTTCACCTTAAATTTTATATGAGAGAATACATAGCTACTGATTAGATATGATTAATACTGCAATTAAACCAATGTTATACAAACGAACGACTTTGCATGAGCTATGACCGTGTTCATGTTGAATAGTCAATTAATATAGAAATGTAGTGTTCTGGGTACATTAGTGTTATGAAAATGGTTCGTTTGCATAGTGTCTTATGTATTAAGTAAGTATTTTAATTCTTTTAAAATAAAATACGAGAGTTACATAATAATACATACGAGTATATATATTATACATTAACTTTTAGAACATAAAAATTAGATTAGATAAAGCCAAACAAAAACATAAATATAGAAAACAGCAACATTAACATTAATATTAAATCTAAACTCGAATTCTATCTATTTTTATATAGAATCACGAGTGTATAGCTCTGTTTTGTAGGGTTTCCAAGGAAATAATGAAATGAAAAATATTTGTTTGAATGTGTGTGTGTGCGTGTATTTCTCAACCCTGAGCCCTCCAAATCACAGTAGAGAACAATGAAATTAATTATGGTCGCTATTGACAGTCTAACGGTGAAAGTTCAGGCAGGCACAGAAGGCTGATCTAGGTGAACAGGAGTATCTTGATATAAAGAGTTATCAATGTAACAGATCCAAGGATGGATATTAACCATAATAGGTTGTATTATCTAATTATCAGTAAATTGAAGGTTTAAATTCTTCTTTTTTCATTAAAACTCACACCATTCATTGTGAACTTTAAATTGGCAAAAAAGGCATACAAAAACTTACTTTAAAAACTGCTTTTAAGCAATTAGCTTTTTATGAATGATCTATTGCGCATTAGAGATTACAAGACGAGTGTTTTGTTTTTCACTGAGAATTTAAACTTATTTTACAGTTTTTTTTTCGATAAAACAATTATGTATTTAGTCGTTTCCCCTACCTAACAGTATATGTTAAACCAAGGCGTACTATGACGCTTGAATCAATCGTAAACATGATAATGTTAAAGACTGTAAAACAATTTTCTTATATATAGTTTGACCCACCCTATATTTTCCCCTCAATAGACTGTAAGTAGTGTTATTGGTCATTTATTTTAAATATCCTATGAGTAAATTAGTTTAGATTTTTATGACCCATTAGTTTTATGTTAGGCTCGATCGTAATGTTTACCGATGAAGAGACTTTAGAAAATATATATAGTTTGACAAAAGACACGACGAGATATAATATAAGATACAATTTGGAATACGCTAAGAAACAGATTTTCCATATTTCCATATTTTTTTACGGATCAGAGTCCTGGTCAATTCGTGCAGCGGACTCAAAAAGATATAGGCATTCTCAACCAACTAAAAATCACCACAATACTGTTGATTATCATTCACAAACGGGTGTTTAGCTACATTGACCATACTGCAAGGAGACAAGTTGGAAATGGTAGGGAGAAGTGATGGCAGGAGAAATCGGGGTCGATCGCCTACCCGTTGGTCTGACCAGGTAAAGACAATTATGGGTCTCAACATCCCTAATGCACTGAGACAAGCTGAGGATAGAGTGGTATGGAGACAGCAAGTCGACGTATCGATTAGGGCTAAAACAAGCACGACCTTCAGTAATAAAGTTTGCGAAGAAGAAGAGAAAAAACAGATTCAGTGTTCAATAGAAACTATTACACACTAGTTATAAATTCTTATACGATATTTTACATTCAAACGAACGAACGATTGCATTCAAGTGCATTCAATTCTGTGGGATAAATTCGGATCCATTGTAGTATCGAGTCATTGATGAAAAATTGTATTTATATAAAAATATAATACGATTCTAAATAGAATGTAATCTACATAGAGGCGACGATAAAATCTCAACATCCCATTCAAATTGACGTTGACAAGGGCGTAGCCGGGGAGTCAGTGTAGCAGATAGCAAATTACTGTGTCGGTGTGTAAATAGATACGGTACAATCGATTGGATCAAGTCAATCAAAAAGGCCTAGTGCGAGACACAATGCATTTAACGTTTACGAGAACGATAAACTGTTAGACGCAATACCTAGACTCGTGTTGGCATTTTCAACATTTATGTTAAGAAAGAAAATACCTAAAGAAAGAAAAGAAATCATAAGTTATAAACGTCCCAACAATTGTATTGCCTCTTTAATTTCCAAGAGCTATATATGTACTTGAATAAAACCGGCACTAGGCACTCTACCAGGTCGCATCGACCGTGAATCCGGCATACGTACAGTGGGACAGCACTTCGCGACTCGTGCACTTCCGGACTTGCATCCAACAATATATTTGTGACATGATTCAATAATTTATTATGTGCAGCATTAAGTGATCGATACAAATCAATATTGTTTTAAACACAATGTAGAGTTGTCAGTCCGGCAAAGGAAAATGTAAGTGCATTAGAAGAATATTTCGTATGGAATTTTTGATATTACGATGTTGCGCACAGGTTTATAATTGAGGTACCTGTTACGTGTAAGGTGCAAATGTACAATAATTGGTTTCTTTGTGTACAATTTATTATATGATTAGTTGCATGGCAATCATATTAGTACGCCAATATTTCTAATAAAATAAAGTAATCAAACCGTTACTATAGGATAAGTGTTTATTCGTGTGGTAACGTATTAGAAATTTATTTGAAAATAAAAACTTTTAAAGCTTTTTCTAATAATTAAATATTATTAATATTTACATTTTAATACTTTAATCATAAGAGATATATTCACAATTTGCTTACCCTGCATAGTAATAATAAAATTAATAAAAAGAAAATTTAAAAAGTTTGGTCCCTGGGGCAAGAGTACTTTTAACGCTGGCAGATTAATATATTACATATTCCTCAGGCATATTTCAAAAAGGAACAGCTAAAACACAGAAAATCTTAACATGCATGTACCTAATTAATGTTGTATTTTTGATATATTCTCAATGATAATAAGGGCATAATGTTTTTTATAGGAAAGAGGGCGGTCGCGAGGAGGTGCCGACCAACGCGGATCAGATGACATCAAGCATGCGCACTGAACATACCTGCTGTTGTCTTGGCGTGTTGGTGGGAGTCTCGCTCATAGCCGGTACGTTCGCGGCAATGACATAATACATATTACCAAAAGACCTCTTGAACGACCCAGATTGTCGATTGTTGTTTGGAAACAGGATCGTAGGCATAGATCCAAGATTCGTCACCACTGATGATGTCATAAACGTGATTTGACTCTCCTCGGTTGAACCTTTGCTGAGTTTTCTTACACCATCTGACGCGGGCCGCCTTGTGATAGCCGGAAAGCAGATGTGGTATCCAACGGAAAACTAGCTTTTTCACACCAAGCGCTTCATGCAAGATCTTGTGAATGGTTGTCCCTGAGATGCCTAATAGAGCCTCTATCTCTTGATACGTCACATGATGATCTTCGAGAATTAGTTGTCTCACAGGCATGATGTTTTCTTCAGTGAAGGCGGATTTTGGGCGCCCTTCGCGAGACTTGTCACTTACACTAGTATGTCCACGCTGGAATTCTAAATACCAGTGTTCGACAGTCCGCAGACATGGGGCTTCATCACTGAACACAGATATTAGCTCTTCAAAACACTGAAGTCGTGTCAGGCCTCTTCTAAAGTTGTAGAAAATTATTGCACGAACATTTTCCTTACAAAGATTCATTTTCGTACGTAACTTGACAGATTCAAATCGACGCTGTGACTAAACAAAAGCATTAATCCTAATACTTTTAACTGTTTTGAGATTCAAAATTTAAACACATTCGAATATAGTACAGGTCCAAATTCAAAATTGCCGGGAAATATGGAAACGACAGAACTTAAAAGGCATGCCTCGTATTTCAGAGACAGATTTTATAATGAGTAGTCGAGTGTGCAATTAATATTTGGGTTTATTGTGACATGCATAAGACCCCCTGGAAAACTGTAAAAAGGAAGCACACGCAAGTATCAGTTCGATGCATTCATAGCAAGCTCCTTTAACACAATTGCAGGCAATAAACAATCCCAAACCGGAAAAAGACGCATGATACCCATGTACGTAACAAGTGCCCATCAAGGATGAAGATGATGGAGCCCCTCTTAAGAGATCTAAAAATAGACCTGTCACTATTAAATCTCACCCTTGATACGTCACTTTTGTAATTGAATAATGCTTGCTACAACAAAGTAGCGGTTATATTATATTTTTTGGAAACTACTTTTGTTTTCAAAAGCGGTATTGGAGTCCAAAAACTACGTTAGCAAAAATTTTATTTCTGTAAAAGATTTGTTTGATTTGCGTTCATAGTTTCTTCAAGTACATATATTAATAACTACTTGAAGAAAACTTTTAGTTAGAACATCATAATACCACTTTAATAGTGCTTAAGCTTATTGAATCGTTAATCCGCTATTGTCTTTTTTCAGCCCTCGTAGCTGTGATCCTAATGAAGGATAACACTGTCGAGGTAACAATACTACGACAAGTTCACGTGGTAAGATTAATTTAAATATACTTAATTCAGAATACAACTTACACTTGATGTTAAGTGATAACTGCCGCCCGTAGACACACACATTTCTAAAGAACTCACAAGTGCGCTGCCGGCCTTTAAAGAATTGGTACGTTCTTTTATTTGAAGGATAGGGTCCTTCAGCACCCTGAATTGGTTCGGAAATATTTCAATGAGCAGCTGGTTCCACATTGTCGCGGTGCTCAAAAGCAAGTTGATCGTTGTGGAACGACGGACGTCGAGGTGATACGGGTGGAATTTCGTATTCTGCCTTGACGTCCCATGACGAATGATTACTTTGCTAAACTTTTAAAATATTAACTATAACTTTTCAATTTACTATATTTATAAGCTGTACTAGAAAATCGTAAATACATCAGCATGCCTTAAATAGCCACCCCAACATACCTATATAAAACCTATTATTCCCCGCTTTATTAATTTTTTGCCCTCTCGAAATTTTTGTTTTCGCTTCGTTTTTTTGTAGTGATTGTACTTTTTTTACTTTTTAGTTTATAAGGAATTTGTACCCCTTCAGGCACCAGTCTCCCTTTAGTAGTTTTGTAGTGTTATTTGTACTTTTAGTTTATTTAAAATGTTTAAACAATAAAAAAACATACATATATCTGAGGCTAAGTATAATTTAAAAATTATCAATCATAGCTTAAAGAGTATCTATTCTATCTATTAAAATGGCTAACTTTTATTTTCAGTGATTTGTTTGCAGCAATTTATATTTAATTGCTTATATATTGCATTCAATTGATAACTAATTCCAGTTGATGTCTCACGGCGAGCGCACTCCGAACGAGCATGAACTCTCAATGTTGGGGACACCACCGCCTGACCACGTCTTTGTTCCATACGGAGCTGGTGCTTTGACTAATGTAAGTTATTAAAGTAAGATACGAGGAGGAAATGGTTATAAAAAAATATGAGTCGCCATAAATCTTAAAATCCTAGCCAAAGTATTAATACATAAGTAGATTATTACATCCAACTATATGTTGATACTTTAATATAAAATCATTGTGGATAAAAAAAAATTGAAGAACACACGTAGATAACTATGTTTCAGGAAGGAAAAATGTTGACATACGAAATGGGCGCTCTTCTTCGTAAAAGATACAATGATTTCATGGGACCGTATTACATAGCTGGTATGTGACTCATTCTAATAAGCTATATAACTAACTGTTGTGGGCTCTGGCAGAATGACCAGAGCTGTGGAACACGTCTGCTCCATAGCATAATGCTGGACCAATTACAACCACAACACACACACATTACACACTTAAAATGTACCTTATTCCTTTTTTTTCTTTCCGTAACTTTTAGTTATTTTTCTTTTTTGATTATTTATGTTTCTGTGTGTGTGTTTCGTTAGTAATAAATATTATGTCTATGTCTATATGTACTTTTAAATTTTTAAAATATGTACGACGAAGGATTTATCAGACTAAGTGTGAATGTACAAAATATAATAAAGATAATTTTCCAATGTCCAAGAAATGTTCACAAATTCAAATGACACATTGATTACAGATAACACGATGGTCATAGCATCTGATACGAGGTTAAGTAAAATGACAGCTCTATTGATATCAGCTGGTTTATGGCCTCCGCCACCAGAACAAAAGTGGAATGATACATTAATGTGGCAGCCAGTCTCATACATATATCCCACGAGAAATGATGATTTCGTAAGTGTATTGTGTTATAGAATAATTTTAGATGTTTTTATATATTATATATGTTATTATTAATGCAACGGTAAAACCTTTTTTAAGCGATTTTGATTTTTTTATGGACTTTAACTTTTGACTGTTTTACGCTTCACTAAATATAGACTGTATGATCATTTATTAATTCAGGACTAAGCCACTTAAATATTCGCATTACAGAGATAAGCTAGACTTTTTTTTTTGTCTCTAATAACACTATACCAACCACTGGTAACCCAATGTTCGACTAGCAATTTCTGTTATTATTAAATTTTAGTTGCAATACGAAGAGAATTGTCCTAGATATGGGCAAGAAAAACAAAGACTCTTAAAGGCATACATGGAAGAGGGGCTATTGGCGCCATATAAGGACTTATTTTATAAAGTCGCACATCTCACTGGCACAAATTTTTCTACGCCCCAAGACGCGTATCACCTAAGCAATTTGTTTTTAATTCAGGTAACTGTTTTTAAATATATTATTTTACCAAAATCAGGAAAACTTAAAAAAATTTCAAAGGTGAAAAGATAGAGAAATCTGTTTTGAATTACAATATTACTCACTACTATTTACATTACATTACTATTGTTACAATATTTTACTCATATTACGCCAAACCGTTTACATTGATTTTGTTTGATTAATCTAGACTTTATACGATTTTTATAGAGTCAAAATTAATATATATTAAATTAAACCTTATTTGCAGGAAGACATTAAAGTACCAAATCCGAAATGGGCTAAGCACGTCAAAAGAAAATTATTAGATGTAGCAAGATTGGAATATATGATGATGTTTCAAAATAATCTACTCAGGAAACTTAGTGGAGGTATACTTCAGTATTTATCTATAACACTCCTTTGATTTTTATAGCAAGCAAATCTTATACATAAAAATATTAACTATTATTTCTGTACATATGTGAAAAGCGTACCAGTTGACACAGTTTTTGCCTTCTTGTATATTTTTTTTTTAAAGTTGGACCCAATAATCAGTGTCTAAGATAGTGACAAAGTTGTAGTTTTAATCAGAGTTTATTTCAAGGTGCATTACTAAAGCAAATAATAAAAGAGGCGGAATCAAAGACAGTGGAATCGAATAGCCCAGCGGTAATCGTTCGTATCGGGACCCCTGTATCTGTAGCTGCTTTGCTATCAGCTTGTGTGGGTCCTCCACCTCGACTGCCTGATCCAGGAGCAGCCTTATTATTTGAGTTACATGAAAAATTGCCTTCTGCTAAGATGACCGATCAAAAAAGTTTATCGGATGGACATAAATATGGATTTAAGGTAAGTGTAACTTGCTGGACACAGACGGAAAGTGTGGGTCATTACATTACAATTTCTATGATGAAAATTGATTATACTTACAAAAACATACCTTAAAGTATTTGAGTCAAATTAGTACCGTTTTTTATTAGTACAATTATTATGAACCTATTAATTAAACTTTAAGGTTTTTTTCATGATTTTATTTAGATAAAGAATATGTAAAAAATAGCGTAATTTTATTTCAGATCTATTATTGGGATGACGACTCCGCTGAACCGCGTCTTATGGAAGTACCTGGGTGCAACGCGTTTTGTCCACTCGATACGTTCAAAGACTCGACCAAATATATTGTTTCCTTAGATTATAAGAAAGACTGTGAAGCTGTTCCTACTTAGCATAGGAGATTGTCCAAATCTATCTTGCTACATATCAAATAAATTAACACATAAAAATCGCGACAAGATGTGTTATTTTGGATTCGTGTAGGTTGTCTGGAAGGAACTGCTTTTAGCACCCATTTAAATCTTTTGTCTCGTTGTTTTTTTGTCTTTTTATATAATAGGGGGGCAAACGAGCTTGCGGGACGACCAAAAAGGGCAGTCTACGCAGCCCATAGACACCCATTTTTAGTGGGTGCGTTGCCGGCCTTGTCTTCTTGTTTTGTGACATTGTGATGTGTTATGATATGATGAAGTGTTATTATTATACTCAGTTACTAATACTTAGTTTATATTTTTTATTAAAAGTATTTTTTGTAAACAGATGTGGACCCCATGCCTATCTTTTGGTAGATTAGATTAAACAATTGGCTTGTTCCTATTTATCTCGTGTGTATTAAAGGTGATTTAAAAAAGTATTTGTGATTTAAGTTGAACCTAAATAAGATATATGATTGCAATACGCAAAGATCCGACATACAAATCATGTGAAAATTATATTTTTTTAACCAATGATAATTAACAATAAAATAGTTCCTTACCTTCATCAATCTTGAGTCCCGTTTCATCGGTGGGAATGTTCTTAGATATATCTTCGAATGTTTCAGCACCCCAATATTGTACGCCGCGTAGTTTGAGATACTCTGCTATTAATGCTGCAATGTGGAGCTGGCAACACATTGCCTGAAAAATAAAATTAAGAATATTAAAAAAATTATACTATAGTAATATATTCCAGTTTTCATTCGTTACTATTTCAAGTTGTGGATTTGTACGGAAAAGCTTTGTATATATCATACGTTTAATATTTAGTAGATGCGTAAATTTACGGGCGCTTGCCTACATATACTATGTTCGAACTACGCAATCCCAAGTCTTCAACATCAGTGCCGATATACCAATTCGAAATTAAGGTTGTGTTAGATGGCTTTAAGAGGATTAAAACGAATGCCAGGCAAATAACTAATTGATGAGCCAATCATTAAACTTAGCTTCCACGTGATTCCGCCAGATATCTCTCACTGTCTATCAATCTATAAAGACAGACGGACGTCCAATACCAGTCTGCATTATTTCCCTATATTATACTAGATGACCCGGCGAACGTCGTTTTGCCATGTAACATTTTTTTAGTTCAATAAAAATAACTATCTACTATAATAAAAAATAGGGGTTGATCGTAGAGGAGTGAAAATTAAGGATTGTGTGTATTTTTGTATGATGTATCATAAAAAAATAAAAACAAAAAATGTTGTATAAAAAATAATAAAAAATGAATTGAAAGATATATTAAATAGTAGCCGATTTTCAGACTTACTGAATATGCATAAAGAAATTCATAAGAATCGGAGTTTCTGAGGAGCATGGGAACGAACATTGTGACACGAGAATTTTATATGTATAGAGATATGGCCTATATATGTATATATATATATATATATAGGGTGGTCCTTATTCCTAAGAAAAAAATTTTTTTCTTTAATGTCACAAGGCACCACGTAATTTGGATATATACCACAAAAAGGGTTTCAGTATTTTTTTTGAATTTTTTAAATGATATTTAGAGGTCGCTAACCAAGGTTTGAATTTTAAATAAAAATTGAAAATCTGTATTTGTTAGAATTCTTTATTTTTATACCCAGGTCTTAAAAATGTTACGAAATTATTGTTATTGTTATTAATTAAGATATTATATAGATATTGATTTGTTTATTTTAAAGATATAAGGGTTGAATTGTTAGTATTAGGGTACTTTATCCTATACTCTTTTACCATCAAAAGCAAATATTGCTTTTGTTCTTCATATGGTAATTATTTTTTATATTCTTCCATTCCTCTAGCTATGTCGTTCACTACCCAATGAATGAACGATATTTTTGGCAGCTATATAATCAGCGTTTTCGTTCCAGGTTTCGAGTCTTTTAAAAAAACACCATGAGAAATCTAGGGTCTGGAAGAATCTTAAGGAATGACTACTCACGAAGTTTTCTATTTTTTTGTCGATATGTGCGATGCCAAGGTTTATTCGTTTTAAGCAATCTTCTGTGCCTTAAATTTTGAGTACTTCTACTATATTTTTCTTTTCTTGAACTAAAACTTCGTCATCGAAAAACGCAAGCGAAACTTGTCTTCTGACAAATTACAAATTATTTAAAATCTTTATCACGCATCAGTAGCTTATTTTGTTGAAGACTTAAGTCATTAATAATTGTAAGTCGTTTCTTGGTGCTGACTGACTCTAAACTACTGAAATCTATTTTTCTCACAGCTTTTTCGTCCTTTTCGTTAGCTTAAACTGATGTTAAATAAATACATTTTTAAACTGTACAAGGCTCTTGCCATCCACCTAGCTCGATGAAGACCAGCAGGTCTCTGAAATGAAACGCTTTTGTCAGGAACACCTCCTAAGGAAATGATAGTAAGATTCAACAGTTCTCTTTAGTCATCTCGAGGTTCATTACTTGAAGTTGCTTTTATGCAAACGAAATCCTGTCTGCGGCCACTTCTGCAAGATTTTGCCTCAGCGTCATCAGCTGTTATTGATTTGAAGTCGCTTTGGTCAATAGTGTTACAATTGTTCTTAAATCTTGAAATCAGGAGTACTAGATGGGGCAAGTATCCTCAGCTGAAACATAATTTCCATTATGTGGTGACAAAAACAAACCAAAGCTTATTTTTATTCATATTGGCTCCAAAGGACAATACTCCACGCCTAACGGTATTTACAGCAGTAGAGTCAAAACATTGTCTAACATTTTACTTTATAGCTCAAATTCCAGACTTTATAGCTTCATAGACAGCTGGACGGACAAGCTTCGCTTGTTCCAGTTCCAATTTTGGAACAGCGAGTAGTTGATAAACTCCATATCCTGATGTCAAAATTGGCAGCGATCTTTAGTTTTGTGTCAGTAATATCTTCTAGAAGTTTACCCTACCAATGGATTGTTAATGACGAATTAGGTTTAAACTCGCTTTTGAGCGAATCTGCACAGCTTGCGATTTGGACCCATACCGACCAAGTAGATCTTTGATTAAATTCGATGGAAAGCCTCATTTCAAAGTAGATGTCACGACCATAGTTGCTTGTCTGTCACTCAATTTAGAGACACAAGACTGGTATCTAATTATGTAATATATAAAAAATATTTTATTTGTAAAAATTTTGACAGTGTACGACCTCTAAATCTTAACAAAAACAAAAACAAAAAACACGTATTTCATATTTAGAGGTTTTCAAAGGAAGTGCCCCGAATTCAAAAGTCGAAAAATAAGGACCACCCTAATATATATACATATATATGATTCCAGCTGAAACTATTCTTATATCTAAATTTAAAAAGTCTTAGACCTTTTCCAAGACATTTGTAGACAAACATACATACACTTCTGAAAGCACACATGCATTTAACTTAACTTAGATCGATATTCGATAATACAACAATAAGACATTCACCTCATCATGATCGCCATTCCTCGAATGCAAATCAGCAAGTGTCGCAAGCCATGCGTGACGTAAACGGGGCGTGGCACGACAAGAGGCAGCGAGGGCGAATTGGAGCTCGGATAGTTGAATGCTGCCTGCGCCTAAATACAAAATTGGTAATTGTTAAATCTAAAGAGCAACTCAGAAAGAGTCTGGACATCTGTTTCATCATCTTGTGCAAACAGCAATGATTAATTGTTTCGGCTTCTTATAGGGTAAGGGTACGAATTCTTAGTAAACAATGGTTGATTCGGTCAGATTTAATCGGCAAACACAAAAGTTGGTCCTTCGAGCCGGATTTTATTGGCATAAATCTACAATATAATTTCTTTTACAGAAATTCAATATTTTTTCTTTATGTAGAATACGGGGCAAACAGGAAGGCATATTATGTTAAACGATACGGCCACCCATGGACACTCAAAATGCAAGAAGGGTCGCGAGTGCCTTGTCGGTAGGTATTGTAGCTCTCTTACCTTAAAGGAATCTGAGTTAAATTGATGATGAAAAGGACAGTAAGAAAAAAACAATTTACCTGTTCCCCCTCCCGCAGCACCAGCAAGTCTAGCTCTTGCCCCAACAACTGTGCGTACGCGACGCATTAGTTCAGCCACCTCGCTTGAAAGACCTAAAATATCAATGTAAAATAAAATTATTAAAACAGAAAATATCTAAATTTTTTGCTGCTTGAGTAAAAACTTATTTAAAAAAAACTGGACGCGTTTTTGGTTTAAGTCATCGCGTATAAATATTAAATTTCACTTAGTATAGTGTTTCTTTAAGTGTAATTCTCAAGTAAATATAACACGATAATTATTAATACTATTGACACATAAAACTAATTTAAAATGGAGATATGAGTATCTCAAAGACTACTAGACTGACTTTGATGAAACTTGGACAGTTGCAAAATACTTGATTTAAGCCAAAAAACAACCTCGATATTTTACTTTTCGTGACATTTGCATACAAAATAAATACGTATGTTGAAAACCTAGAGATTTAAATATATTTTTCAATTCCAACGATATCATATTTATTCACATATGAAATTAGAATATAAATGCGCTGGCAGCTTGACCTTTGGACTTTTACAGGTTTCATATGAACACACACGCTACTTAGACAAGGTAAATTATAACATAGCTAAGGAGGCAACGCTAGTAAGAGTTATTATATATTTATATTCTTATGCTCTAAAAGATCATAAATTTATTAAAAATATTGTTTTAATTACCTGTTCCTTTCATAGCCTTATCCCCTGTAGCAAAACAGTTGATGACCGAGAGAGATTCTTGAAAACGTTTGCAGTTCAGTGCCGTTGAGTTGTCTAGGAGTTTAGACACCGCAATAATTACCTATGTTAAAAATATTATAATGTATTTATCACTCGATAGAGAACAAATCTTTGTTTTTGAAGTTAAAGGAGACAGACAAGAAAAATTGATGAGTGAAATTTTACGTTGCGCGCGCACCGTGACACAAAATTAACAGAATGATGTTGCCTACGGAAGATGCTACGGCATTGGACATAATTTAAAAACAGCAAGAATAATAATAAATATTTATTTATTTAATTTTTCAAATGTAAACTGAACTTTATTGACTATAATGACTCCTTTTCCAGTCTTTGATTATTTAATTGTAATTAATTATTTGCATGCAATAAAAAACTATTTTCAATAATGCCAAAGAAGTATAACTTCTTACGCGCGTACATAACGCGCACCCTTTTTTAAATTATTAATTACGTAAACATGTCATGTGGAACATGGTATAATGGTTGCAGCTCCTTACAAACATTTTCTAAAACAAAAAACTTAGCGATTAAAAAGAGTGGCAGAGAGTTTATTGCCGGTTCTTCTCGTCTCTTCTACGTCCTTGATTTGAGAACTGGCATTAAATGTAAAATTAGAAATATTTAATACGTATTTCTTTATTGACGTTCATAAATGTACATTGTGTTACCTAAATGAATAAATGATTTTAAATTTTGAATTTGTTTAGACCGTTTCCATATCCACTTTATTCCTATGAAATATTGTACTAAGGGGTTAGGGGATACTTTATTCTAGTTATAAACTACTATCTGTGATCTGCAGTTACACACACATTACTCATACGGTCGTAACACGATTGCCTATCGCCTAAAGCTTATCTCGGTTAATAGACTTTTAAATTGGGCATCGCGGAATGTAAAACTGTACTACATCACTATGATCTATTGTCTAGTTTCCGGAGAGTACGCATTTAGGAATCTTTATACAGACCTTTTATTTTTTTTAATATTTCTGAAGATTTATGCCTATGTTCAACGTCAGTGAAATGCTGAAAGAATATTTCAAACCAGACCTGCAGTTTTGGAGCCTATTCATTGCAAATCAAAATCAGATCTTACCTCTTTATAATACTAGTGTAAATTCAATTTTAACATTGAACTAGATTATTGAATATTCAAGTTAAGTTATACAAAATAATAAACGAATTTTTGGATTACCTGAAGGTGAACCCTAGTAAGGTTTCCACCCGTAGCATGTTGGAAGTTAGCCCTCATCAGTAAATATAGAGCGGCGGCTGCCTCGCGACGAAGCCACGCCGCTCTTGCCTCACAAAGCTTCACTACTGCACTTACTATGCCCGCGCAAAGTGTGCTGCCCCCTGAAAATGTAGACTTAAAATTAAAAACAAACATCTTATGCAAATTACTTAAATTATTATTTCTTATATCCTATTAATTTAAAAAAAGAACCCATTTTTTAAGTCAAGGTCCACAAAACATTAGCGGCCTTTGTTTGTCCAGAATAACACTTTAGTAGCAAATTCTATGGTAGGGGAGCCCAAGAGGGGTTTTCCTTTTTTTTCCCCCCCCCCCGTTTTTTTTTTGGGGGGCCCCCCCCCCCCCCCTCCCCCCCCCCCCCCCCCCCCCCCCCCCCCCCCCCCCCCCCCCCGGGGGCGGGGGCCTTTTTTTTTTATAATTCTCCCCCCCCCCCCCCCCCCCCTTTTTTTTTTTTTTTTTCTTTTTTTTCCCCCCCCCCCCTTTTCCCCCCCCCCCCCCCCCCTTTCCTTGTGTGGGGGGGGGGGGGGGGGGGAGGGGTTTCCCCCCCCCCCCCCCCCCCCCCCCCCCCCCCCCCCTTTTTTTTTTTTTTTTTTTTTTTTTCTCTTTTTTTTTTTTTTTTTCTCCCCCCCCCCCCCCCCCCCCCCCCCCCCCCAACCCCCCTCTCCCTCCCCCCCCCCCCCCCCCCCCCCCCCCCCCCCCCCCCCCCCCCCCCCCCCCCCCCCCCCCCCCCCCCCCTTCCCCTCCCCCCCCCCCCTCCCCCCCTCCCCCCCCCTTTTCCCCCCTTTCTTTTTTTTTTTTTTTTTTTTTTTTTTTTTTTTTTTTTTTTTTTTTTTTTTTTTTTTTTTTCCTTCTCCCCCCCCCCCCCCCCCCCCCCCCCCCCCCCCCCCCCCCCCCCCCCCCCCCCCCCCCCCCCCCCCCCTTTCCCTTCTTTTTTTTTCTTTTCCTCCCCCCCCCCCCCCCAACGGGGGCCCCCCGGTTTCCCCCCCCTTCCTCCTTTTTTTTTTCTTCCTTTTTTTTTTTCCTTTTTTTTTTTTTCTCCCCCCCCCCCCCCCCCCCCCCCCCCCCCCCCCTCCCCCCCCCCCCCCCTTTTCCCTTTTTTCTTTTTTTTTTTTCCCTCTTTCCTCTCTCCCCCCTCCCCCCCCCCCCCCCCCCCCCCCCCCCCCCCCCTCCTCCTTTTTTTTTTTCCCCCCCCCCCCCCCCTCCTTCTTTCCCCCCCCCCCCCCCCCCTTTTTTGGGGGGGGGGGGGGGCCCCCCCCTCCTTTTTCCCTTTTTTCCCCCCCCCCCCCCCCCCCCCCCCCCCCCCCCTTTCCCCCCTTTTTTCCCCCCCCCCCCTTTTTTTTTCTCTTTTTTTTTTTTTTTTTCCCCCCCCCCCTTTTTTTTCCCCCCCCCTTTTTTCTCCTCCCCCACCACTAAGCGCACAGAATATGTTTTGCATTTTTTGAATTTCTAAATCATAAAGCAATGTTGGGTAGGCTCAATCCCCGGCTGTGCACCAATGGACTTTCTTTCTATGTGCATTTAACATTCACTCGAACGGTGAAGGAAACCGGAAACCGGATTGCCGGAGACCCAAAAAGTCGAAGGCGTGTGTCAGGCACAGGAGGCTGATCCGGACTTGCCTATTAGATACAAATTATCATGAAACAGATACAGAAACCTAAGGCCCAGACCTAAAGAGGTTGTAGCGCCCCTGATTTATTTTTTTAAATCATAATGCTGTCCCGAAATTTGCGTGTTACAATAAGCATGTCACGGGTGGCTAAGTTTTTGGCCATTACAAATGACGCAATTAAATTCGAAGCTTATGTTCAATGTACCTACGTAATATAATTTTGTATACGTTTCAAAGTAATACCCCAAGAAAATTATATTTACCGTCAAACAATGTTTCCGAAAACTGATTAATATATGCTCTTAAACCAGCAAAGAGGTGTTTATAAAGATTTTCGCTTTGAGGCAATTGTAGAAGTTTCAAATATGGTTTGATGGATTGTCCTTCTGCAGCTCCCAGATTTTTCATAAAGAGACAAGCCCGGTCTATAATAGTGAGACCCACCTCGGTTGCTAGGCAACCGGCAGATACCACTGCAAGTTCCGACATTGCTTCCAGTTCTGGAAAAGGTTTGAGTCATAGACAAGAAAAAACAGTGCCTTTTTATGTATCAGAGTGTACAAGTGTAATTAGATTATATGGTTCGAAATATAAATTCAAATTATGTGTTTCAATTTACACACCAAAGGTTTTTTACAAAATAAATACTAATATTTTTTACATTTATTTTAGGGAAATTTTATACGGTCAAGGCAGAATACGAATTACCAGCCGTATCACCTCAACGTCCTTCGTTCCACAACTGAGCCTTTTCTAAGGCAGTTTTTTCTGCGAACCACCAATATGGAGAACCAGCTACCCACTGAAGTATTTCCATTTCGACTTGGGTCCTCAAGAAAAGAGTGTACCAATTCTTAAAAGGCACTTGCGAGCCTTCTGGCAATGTAAGTGTCCATGGGCAGCCGTATCACTTAACATCAGGTGAGCACGTTTGTTATTATATAATAAAAAAATAAAGATTGATAGAAAACAACAGATAGTTTCTACTGGTTTTCGTTATCCAGTTCTATTTACACCCGGTATTAAAATTTATTATTTTTCGTAAAATCTTCACCCGATCGTGTGCCAAAAATATTCTAATCGTAATTATTAATTTATCCTATCGGAATAAGAAATCATCTTACCGGTAGGCACCGTTGTATTAACCAAATTCTCTCTATTAACTGTATTATTTTTCTCAACTATTATAGGTGGTTCTTTAGAGAAATCAGGTGGGCTCATTCTCGCCGGTAAAGTCCTAGCTTTCATCGGTTTCGACTTGTCATTACAATCGGGTGTGGTCACTTTTAATTCCGATAAAATCTTCTTCTTTCCCACGTATTGAAACTGTTCAGCGCATATTCTATAATAAACAAATTATTGTAAATATTTTTTTTAGTTATTATGGACGTTTCTTTGATCTTTTTGTGTATGTTTTAGTAAAAAAAAATAGGACTTCTATATAAAACTTTTATTATTTTTGTTGTCATACGCATCAATCAAATTACCACCAATTCTAGAGCAGATCTCTAACCATGAGCGAGCAACAAATTGTTTTTATTGTGTGTATTTTCTAACGTGGAGTATGTATTTATTTTCTAACATGATAACACCTTATTTTTGTCCTGTAATGTAACTTTAGTACCATAGCAGATGGTAGTAGCAGACTGCAGTGGTAGACCTGTCCCGCCGAAGGCAGACAATGCACGCTGTTGCATTTCAGGTTAGCTTTCATACTTACTCTAAAACGTTAAAGAACGATTGTTGCTGAGCTGGCGTATACGTCCTCCACCATTCTACGAGTCTATCTTCATCCAAATATTTCAACACAAACAAGAAACACAGAAGCACATCCCGTACCTCTTCAGCGGACATCACACCGAATCTAAACACATACAATTAGATAATTTACAAGGTTACATATAAGTTCAGAACTCAATCTAATCTATCACGTACGTAGACGTTCAGATTAAATAGAGATTTTGATAAAAATACATAAAGACGTTAGAAACGTTCGGAACAAATATGTAACAGACACAAAATGACACAATGAGAGGTCGAGCATAAGTTTAATAAACGATATATGTAAACTATTGATTAAATTGCAGATATAATAAATACATTTTCACATTTAATAAAAAGTAACACGATTAAAATTATTATCAAAAGTGTCATCACTAATTTGAATCCTCGTAAATTTTTGCATCACGGTAACCCATAATATGATTATTTATAGTCGTATTTTTAATTAGACGAATTTTTAATTACACTGTGTTGTCAGTTTTTAATGAAATAAAAATAGTGTTGTGACAAAGTAAAAACCCCTGAATTAATGATCGGTGATGGCACTAGTCGCCGCGCAGCGCTTTGGAATAAGCCGTCAAAAAACTGATTGTAGTTACATAGTACTAGTACCTAACTTATATCAGAGCACTTTAATACAATTTTGAAATAGAAATAATATTCTTTTATAGTTTGAAATGATTAACTATTCACACTCATTGTTCATTCATCTGATTGAACAAGAACTGAACGTATCACTATTACTTTAAATAGGGTAACATTATTTTACAAAGTGACATTAGCTACTGTCAATTGGCTTCGTCTAATTAAAAATACGACTATAAATGATTTTAAATCACAAAGAGTGTGATATATCTTGAAAATACTTTTGAAATCTATTTCTTTTTATTTAAAAAAGACATTTTACCTGTTAACCTGATCGCCAAGTTCGCTCAATTGCAGTCGTGTATTTCTTGGTAGAGAGTCCCCACCCGACATTGTCGACACTGACTCTAGTGAACTATGCGATATGTTATTTACGTTATCTACAAATATAACATGTATTTAACAACACAAGAACAACACGTAAACGCTGTAAAATAGTGTTTAAAAACTATATTACAATTTATAATTGATTCTAGTATTTTCAGAAATGAAATACACAACAGGAACAAAGAGAGGTTTGTATATGAATTGAGTCGATAGTCGCTCGGCCACAGATCTGCCTGAACGCGTGATTGATAGGCTACTATGGGGTCCTATGTAAAATAATAATAATAAACGGAATTTTTTTTTTTCATTTATCCTATATATTATCCAGTCAGCCATTTTATCTTACCCTTTTGACTTTATAATCTTTTTAAACCTTTACCCAAAAACAACAAACACCAAAATCACATCAACCCAAATGTTACAAGGAAATATTACCTTTTCCATACATATTGTTAGAAATATTGGGTGGCTCTTTGAAGTGACCCGAATTCCTGACCGGCGTATGATCAAAATGTAGGGTCAATCGATTCCTTCGTGGCGTACTGTTCGCCGAGGTGATTTCCTTTTGCGTATTTATTACGGGGTATACGCTCGCATCTCCGTCCACTTTATCGTGACCATTTTCTAATATGGGACTTGCTAGACATTTTGTTACCAAACGGTGGGCATTATCTGAAATTTTTTGTTAGTAATGATATATACTAAAGAATGACTCATTTTTATATTTCAACTATATCTGCCTCTGAAGTAGACAGACGTATGGAAATATCATTGATTAACTTTTTTTGTGATACTGTACATTTAGAGGACTAGATACTAAAAGGTTTATTAAAATTAAAATACTTATAAAAATTTAATGAAAAAGTTCTTAAACCTTGTGGGTAGTTGTATAAAAACGGTTTAGACTGTAGGTAGTCCGGTTACAAAGATATAAAATGTGACTATTTAATTGTTGTTTCTAAATATTCTAATTCAACTATTATTAATGACCACAAGACACTATCTAGTCTAGAGCGCTGTCAAATATGTCAAACTCCATACGGAAAAAGTGCTTTTAAGTTTAGTTGACGTTACAGATTCCAGGCTTCATATCTCGAGATACAATCTCGTCTTGAGCGCCTTCAAGTATGTATAAACTATATATAATTAAAGTACTTTTAACAGCTTGATTAACATTATAGACGGGCCTTGACCAGAAACTTTTATTATTATTAAAATAGGTACATATCTTACCGAGTACAATAGTGAGCCAAGGCGCATAGAGTTGTGCGAGCCTCGCTCTCGCCTGCCTTGTGTTGTACCGATCGTCGTGTTCATGTTTCGTGAGTAAATTACGTAACACGTTCAACGCAACACGGCGCTTTTGCGGGGCTTCTCGGAGTGATTGCTCTACCTGTACCAAATTATGTTATGAGTGACATTTTCTACCTTACCCAGGTCATATTTTTGGAAGCGGGATGACTAGCTTTATATAGCGGTAGTAAAAATTTGCTTAAAATTTTTAGTTGTAGTTTGTTTAATTTCAGTTTTCTTTTTTTAAATCTATTAACGTACTTAATAGACTTGTGTTTTATGTTTCGTATATTTACATACATTATTATAGTAGTAAACATAACAAGCATTAGATATTACATCTACTCTGCTATTATAAAGAGGTAATGATTTAGTTGATTCCATTGAATAGGCTCCAAAACTGATTTGAAAAATTCTTGCAACGCATCCGCTGCGGAAACTATTGCCAATAGAGCAAATATGATGTACTATAGTTTTTTAGTTTTTTTTTTTATAATTAAAGTCCGCAATAGCATATATCTAAAAAAAAATATTTTTATGCAATTAAGTCTATTAACCGAGATAACTACTCACATGTTTAATAAGAATACCAGCCAAGAAGTGTCTCATTATAAAATCTTCAGTTAATTTCAGCCTTGCGGGATCTGACACAGTAAAATTGTTTTAAATTTATGTTTTATTCACCTTCAATATTTATATCAAACTATTTAAAAATCATAGATATACCAGTGTTTTTAAACTATTTGCCTCTAGTGAGGAACAATTAATGTAAAATGGCCATTATATTTTCCAAAAAAATAAAAAAACTTCCTTTTGTTTCCCGTACGACTTTGTAACACATAGATTTGATATATGTTACTAGAAAAGCCTCAAGTCACTTATTTAAACATTGATTAAAAGTTTGTTACGTTACAAATAAAAACAAGAAAATTACTAGGGATGCAACGCGCGGCCTCATCGCTAACAAGCCATCTCTGCCAGGCGTAATATAACAGGCTTATTAGTAAGGAAAAACATTACTAAGGGTAAAGTGCAAGAAGTGCATAACTGAATTAACAAAAATCACAAGAAACAATGAACAATAAAAAAAATTAACTAAAATCTAAGTTAAAGTTTTATCACATGGCGCACTAAATTTATATCATTATTCTATTAAAATTATTTATTTATTTATTACAGAAATACATACATTATCCTTATAAACTATGGCAGTACGATAATGTCGAGAAAAAATAAAATATGATACATATCAATATGTCGATAGTGTCGGAGATAGCATTCAGTAGGCGAACGTCTTTGATAACGGGGATCTGTGCAACAGACTAGTTCTGGCCCTTGGTATCGCAAATACCCTAGGACTTCTTAATTCCATAGGTACAAAGAAACCCAGGTCTTGGAGCACACACCCCCCTGAAGACTTTCAGTACATAGTAGGCCAACTGTAAGTCCCGTCTGGTTTCCAATTTATTTATCTATCAGCGGTAGAGATTTAACCTGATAAAAACTTACCTTCATCAGAATCCTTGATAATTTTGTTAGCGAGCAGAGGCAAGTTGAACGGTACGTAGTGTTCGTGAGAACAAATCGTTTGCAAAAACGTGAACTTGAAGTCGAACAACGCTTTTGGATCGCAACTCTTGAACTTCTCTAGGTACTTTTTGATTTGACGGAACACGAAACCGCGATCCATTAATGAGAGACATGACTGAAACAGAACGGTGATTTGTTGATGACCATTATATTAATATACCATGGTAAACCTTCTAGAATTGTAAAATACGTTTGCAACAAAAGCGTAGGCGACTTCCGAGACGGCGGGCTCCCACTCGCCTATGAATACATATATCGAAATAGGAATTGAAATATTTACTAGGAATATTATTGGAGTGTTTTTTTAGCAAAATAAGGTCCCGCACCATAAACGTTGGGAGGATTAAGAAATTTATAGTAAAAAACCTTATACAATTATAAATTTTAAAATACTCTTAAACTACCTACTCGACTTCTTTTATCAGCGACAAACTTAAGAAGAATTAAGGTATATTGATTCTGGTTCAAGAGGAATTATTAGACGCTTGATATTGAATCAATATAAGATTAGAAAAACAAAACAAATTTTACAAGCTTACCTTAAGGAATAGAGCCAAATTTTTGTTGAATATATGTGTTTGCATCGGTTGTTGCAATATGTATGATGGCTCCACGGTACTGACCAGTCTATCAATATTCTCCAACAATTCCGAGTGAAAACGTTCGTGGCGAGACATCTACACGTAAAAAAGTCTGTTAGTATCGTGCAATTTCCCTCAGAAACCAGATGAAACAAAACAAGTCCTGGAATAGATGAATAATAGGCAGGCACCGCAAACTTACAGCAAGTGTAGACACGTTACAGGAAAAACAAAACTTAAAAGATGTTTACTGGTGCTGTAAACCAGTACAAACAAATCTGTTGCTTAGATTTTTAAGCTATTGCATAGATTTTATCAAGGTGCGGCCAATACGCGGTAGAGCGGGACAGAACGCATACTGCGTATTCACATCTCTCTGACGAGATCGGTGACGTAGCGTAAGCGCTGAGTCTGGTAGAGTGGTAGATTGAATTAATACCAAAGAACAAGAAAAAATACTGCATAAATAAAAAATAAATAAATAATTATAATTGCATAAGTTAATAAAAAATGCTATGCAATAGCTTTACCGCGGCAGTCCCCGAGTGCCACACGTTTTTTATTTCATAGTCAAGTGTGACAAGCCTTCTGTCTGACACATGTAGATTTTTTGAGATATGCTATGGCTGATTTCCTCACGAGGTTTTGCGCTTAAATGCGCTCATAGAAAGTCCATTGCGCACGCTCAAGCTACTTTTTTTTATGAGGTAAAAATGCGCTTACGCAGGCCCGCATCAAGGATGTTGAGCTTGACGCGGGGACTGTGGGGCTGGGTCAACTCCCTCTGCTATCCATAGGGGTAGCGAGACCCCACCCACTAAAAACACCTCAGCCCTTCACACACCCTTAATATGGACCCTCGGGGTTCGCTAGGCATTCAACCCAAGGACGCTCAAGCTACTAGGCCAACCGCCCCATACTCTTATTATCAGCAATTCCTGAATGGGCTCTATAGAACATAGGCGTTTCAAGGTAGAGCCTAAGATTTTCTAACATATTAATTTAATACAAATATTTTATATGCAAAATCAGTGATTCAACCTAAGCTATGAAAGATATAATTACAGAAAAATATTTCTAATTGAACTTTTCTAATAAATAATTAATACCTTTATCCTTCCAGTATTAATCAAATACTGCACCATACTCTTCACAATAGCATCGAAGAAAAAGCTTGAATATTGCATGAATTTGTGTCCCAGCAGAAAGTCCTGCTGCGTGGGATCAACGAACATGTGTAATGGGGCAGTTAAAACTGTATGCAACTTTAGTTCTACGCAGTTGAAGACATACTGAAAAATAAATAAGTTAAGTACCAGAAATTTCAATCACCTGCATTCGAAACATGAACATAATTAATTAGGAATTTAGTTTGGAGGGCGAAAGACAAACTTATTGGATATACTTTTAATCCTATAAATAAAACAAAGTGTAAGAATGTTTTAAGGTCCGAATAAACTCAGGGATTGAGATTTTCACAAGTGTTAGGAAAAAAAATTGTCTCTTATTCATAAACATAGACTAACTTCACTCTTTTACGCTTTCGCCTCTCTTTATTTTTGTTTATGCTACGATGAAAACAGAAATATGAGTAAGTTAAATTAACGGAATTAGAATTTTTATGAACTTCATAAAATACACACCTTTATATAACTGTCCAGTAAATCTTTTCGTCCATATTCGTGGATCATATGAACAAATTGTATCATTAGCTTTACAATTTGATAGCCCATATCGCGTGAATAGCCCTTTTCAACTGTCTGAAAAAAAAAAACAATCATTCATTAATTAAAATGGCGACACGTTTTGTGAAGACATTATTTTATCAAAAATAAGTATTATATTTATGTCAGTTAAAAATTGAAAATTCTATTAATATGTTATTTAATTACACTATATTTAATTAATATTTTTTTTGTACTCTTAAAAAAAATTCGCAAAAAAAGAGCCTGTTAGTTGTTTGTACATGAATCCACCAAGTCTAAAAGCAAGCAACCATGTTATTTTATAGTAGAATTAGCTTCTGGACTTACCATAAGTTCAAACAGTTGATTTAATATAGTCGGCAAGAAGGCTACGAGAGAGCTTAATTGTATCCCGTGTGCGGCTTTTAAAGCATTTGTGACGTCATGAGGGGAAATGGGACTAGAGGGGGGAGATGTATTTATCAATCTCTCTATAGAACTGAATAGAGTATGTAAATGAGGGTCTCTGGTCTCCACAGTGGAGTCGAGGACAAGTTGGCAACGGAAGAGCTGCTTCTCACCTTCAACCCATACCACTTCGGGGCCTGAGTTCTGGAAAGGTATAAGGTACAAAATAGAAAAAAAAATAATTTCTTTTTTGCGATAGCTTTGTTAATTAAAAATTAATCGAAATGATATTATTTCATATCACATACCCCTTTTCCGAGTCCCAATGGATGAATAGATAAATATCCAGATGGCAAGTGTGTTGCAATTGGCAAGTTCACAAATTCGTCAATAAATTTGTCGTTTTTAAGCAACGGCACCCAGGCATAACTAAAAGAAAAGTTTTATAAGAACTTGTTGAAATTAGACAAACCATTTTATCCCATCTCTTACTATTATATTGTGGTAAAAGAGATAGAAAAATATACTTTAATAAAAATTGTATAAAAATACCATGGTTTTTTAACGTACACGTGCACACACACACGGCTATAGAAGTACAGATATAGAAATGTATTAAAATCCGCAAAAAAATATTCTACAGATTTGTAAGTATTTTTTTATTATTATAGGTGATGTACATTGGCTCTGTGTTTGAAGTCTACTCCGTGGTTTCATAATACCATTCCCGACAGTAAAATTGTTTTGGGGTCGGTAGGTGCAGAAGGATCTTGCAAAATGCACACACAAAAATTGATTATCTTACCCAATACAAGTTTCCACATTGGTATCATTTTTCTTAGCAATATCGCAGGATATATGGTGAAACGTGAAGAGCAAGTGATGTTGGGTAGTTAACGTAGTCGGGAGTCGAATCTTGGCCTCATCGCACCAGTTCGGGTTTGCATTATGATGTAACACTGAACACTTGTAATGGTCTGTCATACCTATACGTCCGTGAATTATCTAAAAATTTATAATTTAATAACTTCTGTTAATTATAGTACATTAATTATTAGTGCTTATACTTTTTTTAGGAACTCACAAATAGACAAAATGCTAATATAAAAAATATATCTAGACAGTGGTAGTAAGACAAATTTACATATGATCTTATCACCAGAATAATTTTAATCACCTTATTCGAAAAATATTTATCAAATAAAAAACACATTTTATTTACATATTTACAAATAAAATATTACCTGTAACGCTTTAACATCGCCCGTATCGCTGTCCTTCAATTCGATTGTGCAGGAAATATTCCGCGCTCGCACGAAGACTTTCTGAGATTCAAAATTCAGGGCTAACGGTCGGACGTATAGGTGATGAATGTATGCTGCATACGGTTGTTCAGGCTCGAAATTGTATGTAGAAAGCTCCAACGTTAATGGCGATGTTGGTGGCAATGGAAACGGCTTTAGTGCAGCATAGGAACTCGTCATACAATCTATAAATAATATATAATAGCATCAAACAATGTAAAGACAAGTGAAGCCCTACAATGTTTGAGGCGTAGATTGATGATTAATATTGGAAGTCGGGATTGAAGTCAAATGAATCCAATATGTAAGAAACATGTTAAATGGATACTTGCAAATTTTTTCAACCACTTCTTTGGGAACTCTAGGAGGTCAGGGGGGGTTACTTTGATTTCTTATTTGGTGATAACGTCGACAGTTATTTATTATGTTACTTTTTTACACATATTACCCACATATTGTCTATGCTTGAAAACGAAATGCATTTTCGAGGATTCCTACAAACAATTAAAACGTTTATGTACTATTATTATTGACAGCTTTGCTTACTTTTGTTGACAAGACGAAGGGAGGGGGGGGTAATATTTCAGTAAATCTGCTTACGTAATACTTGAACGGTCCCATACTATTGTTTTGGTTTCAGCGTTAAAGAACAAATTAAACACTAGTTAAGAGAGCTGAAATCTTAAGAGGTTAGATTACATAGTTAAGGAATTTAATCCACAATATTTTTACTTTCCTCACACTATTCAATGTGGGCTGATCCAGGGTGTTCAAAGGTCATAACCCCCTTGCCCTTGGACACTTACTATATCGTCACAAAATTTTAGTCGAAATTGTTACAAATTAGCTTTTATTTGATTTAGATATTTATAGAATTTTTGTAAAAATGTTACAGATTGGAAACTTTACTAGTACCTACATTACAGTTATTCTTACAATTAAATTTTGCTGAGTGTAAATGAGTTCTACTTTTCTATGAAAATAATTTGTTGTAAGTATGCATACTACTGCAGTACATACTTGGTATTTGTTCTATACACGGTAGGATACTAATAGACAGCCACCCAGGTATCGCATTCAATTTCGCCAATTTTTCTGGTTTTCTAAAGTCTTGCAGAATTTTCAGTAAGTCATCATCGGACATTTTGTTTGGCTCCTGTCGGTATATCGCAGGAAATTCTGGCGTTGTATCCAAATCGTTACTATATAATCTGTAAAAGTATTTGCTTTAGGCGCGTTTTTAAAAATTATTTTAATGAATACTAAGGAAATTGACTGAACTGGGATACATGAACTGGGAATATTTTTTTTTTATTATGAAAAATAATTTAAGAGATTTTATTTAAGTAATTGTTAAAAAGTTAATTCAGCTTTATGCTAAACCCACCAAATTAGAAAAAGAAATTATGTAAAATTTTTGTTATTAATTATGAAGTTTTCAAAGACCAAGATATATTTTAATTCCGGTGTTTTACTGTAGTGTTTTGTATCGTGGAGCGAAGTTTTTAACTGACACCAAAAAATCTGAAGGTGAAATATTAACGTGATGAATTTTTTTTTATAATTACTTTATAAAAGCTTTTTATAAGTAAATTGATGGAACAGGATTATCTATAATTAGTACGGTGTATTAATAATTGAAAAAGAAAATTACCTGAACAAAGGTTTTGCCGCCCAAGCAAAAGGCATCCTATAATTCCCGACACGATTTGCATAGGCCTGCACATTTTTGTGGACTTTGAGCCCTAATCGAGGGTCTTTTGTGGCTTTTTGGTAGGGCTCCAGCACTTGACTTACGTGACCTTGAAGAATCTTATCGATCCTCACAACCAAAAATAAATCCGGGTGTGGGTTGTTCACTGATAACATGACCTAAAAATTAAAAACGAATATTATATTAAAGTAGCGTCCTAACAACCATAGAGCTATAACAAGAATATTTTTCAAGTGATACGATCTTTATTTTAACACGAACGATTTAGAAATAAGTTTTTTTTAATGCTGGTTTATAAGCAATTTAATATAAAACCAAAATTTTACTTAATTGAAATAGATATATGCTCAAGATAGAGAGGGAAATGGAGCCAGTTGGATGAGGCCTTAACTCTTTATGGTCCTTGGAAAAAAAAATTAATTATTTTTCTATAAAACTTAATGAGGAATAAATGAGGCTTAATGAATTATTATTTTTACTAAGATTAATTTTACGCTTAACGTTTCTGTAAGTATATATGTAATACTAGTTAATGGATAAAGAAAAACTAGCGAGAAAAATTCTAATCTAGACGATTCAAAAAAGTTCTTCCGCTTTCTTGACATACTTAGGAGATATATTTTCCCCTACACATGCTGTAGGGGAAAAATACTAAAATATGATTTTTTTGCTAACCTAACAATCGTAGTTAACGTTGCAAATTACAAAGTAGAATAAATCTTAAGATAATCATTTGTGAGGTTTTTAAAATACATCTAACATTAACCGAGCAGGAAAATTTTAAAACAGTTATTAATTCTTGTAAATTGCTAAATGAAAATAAATGTTGTGCGCTTTTTGCATTAGTATTTATTTTTCTTTCCTTACTAGAGATCGCTTGTTAGTGATAAGGCCGCCCGTTGCATACCTAATAATTTATGTTACCTACTTGTGTTTTATTTGTAATGTAAGAATTTTTTAAGTGAAACTTCTTTAGGCGCAATATATAATAATAGTATGAAACGCAATAATAATAATATTAGCGTCACGATTGTCGAGGAAAAGGGAGATAGCGATTGAGACCGATTCACAGAGAGTGAGAAGGGCGAATTACCTTATAGAAATTGTATATTAGTATTTTATATTTTATGCAAAATAATTTATTGAAATCTCAAATGACGAATAAAATAGAATGTAAACTAAAATGCCACGTGTTTTTATAATTTGTATTAATTTTCGACACTTTTAGTATTTTAATGACAATTAAATTCCTAACATATCTTCCTTTTTCCCTCCCTCTAAGTCTCGGAAAGTCTAAAGTTTTAGATTTATATAAATATGAACAAGACTTAAAAATTAGTTTGCCAAAGAAGTTTCACTTCTGACATGTGTACTTTGTACGCACGCACTTTTTTTTAATAAATATACACTAGATAAATTAGATGGAAAACTCCACATACCTGTTTCTTTGAATTGAACCACTCCTCCGGTATTTGTTTAACATCCACCTTGACATCATACTTAAAGTTCTCGACCAATGACTTGGTACACTCATTTTCCTTTATAAGATCTTTAACAGCCGCGTGATTGAGATCAAAATGAAAGTTCTCCGTCACTTTCCTTCCGCTACGTGCATCGTATATTGCTAAGTGAGTAAAATAAGGTTCGACTTGGCATAACAACTCTTTGTCACCATCTATGGGTGCTTGCAATCTGAATTTCAGACTCTCGCACTTCAGTAATATTCTTTGACCGAAATGTTCTCTGGAAATATAATAACAGTATTTTAGACATTTCATTGGACGTTGGTAAGGTATGAATAAAGAGAGGACCTGTAGAGGTCTTTATTAATACTTTTACGTTATACGTTCGTTCGTACGTTCTTATACGCTCCTTTGTTCAAGGAAGAATTAATGGGGTTTCAATTTTGGCTTTTATAAATAAATTGCACTTATCATTGTGAACAAACTGCTTTACACCACTATCTCTTTTCATAGTCTTAAACATAATTTGGTAAAAGGACATAATATACGTATATCCTGATTATCTTTTTCCCTTCCACATAGCGCACCAATAAAATACTTTTCTGCATTGCTTTTAAAATTTTTGCAGTCTTCTGAACTTTCCAAATTGAAACATTAATAACAAAATAAGAATTCAGCTCCGCCACAACCCTGTATAGGTCTTCGTCGCAGATTAAATTAATTTTGACAAGACAAGAAAGTGTCTGTCACATTGTAGATTGTTGGATTTGAGACAAGCCGGTTTACTCACGATGTTTTCCTTCACCGTACACCGCATTGCGCACATAGACAGAAAGTTCATTGGTGCATAACAGTGACCGAACCTACGACCTCAGGGATGGGAGTTGAAACCTAGGCCAACACTGCTTTATGAAACATTGTATCATAAACATTCCTGGTTCACGTAAGGAATTTTGACAAGGACAGAACAAGATTCGTACTTGAACGAATGTCGAAACAATGGTATCTCAGATAGCCGACTACTTACTATCCGCGTTCAATAAAGCTCGTAGAATATAACTAATTACACATTAATTACAAACTTAGTTGCTCTTATCATAAATAAAAATACAAGGACAATGTAATTATCTGAATAAGCTAATATAAACCCTTATCTCACTTGAATGGTTCCAATTGTGGTTCGGGTGAAGGCGATCTCTTGTATGGCAAGTTGAATATGTTCGAGCGACATTCGTTCCTCGCGGCCGCTATTGAGAGGTCAGTTTCTCGTGAATATCGCATTAGTAGTGGATTCATACTGTGTTCTAGGCCTTTCAATGTACCGTATATGGGAGGCGGGGGCTCGCCTGTTAAGGATATGTCCGCATCTGAGAATAGGAAAGTTGAGCATTAAATTAGATGTAACCCCGATATATTGTACTTATAAACACGTGCCTATAAATTTTATACAGCTTTAAAAAAATCTTTGTATCAATACTATTTTTTTTTTAATAATTTGGTAGTCTTTCGGAGTCTTCAACCTTTTCTTTATGCTGTTATAAAGTCAGTTATCAGGCAGTTAAGCACGTGAAATGTTGGGATGGTTTTATAATTTAAAATATTATAGGGTAAAGTATTTTATAGTAGGAAAATGTATTATTTTTTTTGTCATTATTCAACAAATTATTTTTTAAAATTAGTTAAGAAATATGCTAACGCTAGGTAGCTGAACTTAAAAATATCTTGGACTACATTAAATAGTTCTAAGAACGAAATGAATTACGGTTTAAATGCATAATAGTATTTTCTTTTCATGGACAAATTTGTAGCAAATTAAAAAAAAGTTTCATATAATATCTACAGACAACAGTTGTCTATCTTTGGTTGACGCGAGTACTAAGATAAATGTCTTCGGCTAAATCCACTGAAGTTATATTAATCTCTAAAAACTTTAATTGTATAACCAACAGAAACGCAATGAACAGGAAGGACAAACTATACCTTTATCTAAAATTTCGTCATTTTGATGATTTCCCTGATCTTGGTTCTTCTTGAGCGCTGAAGTGAAACAATTAATCCATTCCTTAATTTCTTCCTCATTTTCAGCTGCGAATGTGTATCCTTTGTTCCCAGACATACGCAATTCAAAACAAAATCTACCGCGTTTTGTATTCTGAAATAAAATTTAGAATAAACTAATTATCTAGCTTATTAATGAACAAATTGCAACCAATGCTAAAATTCGGTTTGCTAGCATTTTATTAAAATTTAATGTACTTTAGAATAATGCATATATTATTACAAGTTTGCTATTGGTAATCTTAATATCTAAAAGAGTAAAGACGAATAGTATATTGTTTGGTAAATTCGACTTTAATTTGTATTTATAAATTTTTGGGATAAGTGTTATGTACAATAGGAGCAGTGATAGTGCATTGTTGTCACGTTGATAAGCATGTGAGCAACTCTGAGGTGCACTAATGGATTGAAAAACATCGCGAGCAAATTTTAAAAAATAAAACCCCAAGAAACATCTATTTTAAAATGGCCTGCATTAATTAAATTAATTATTCTAGCATGCAGAAAATTAACTACAATATATGAAAACTTCTAAAACATACCCTAATTACTTCTGAACAAAAATCCATGACAATTGTGAGCTTTGTATCTGTTTTCTTTTCATCCTTATATACTTCGAGTATATATGTACCGTCAGCCTCTTTAACCATTGAGCAATATCGTTTTTTAAAAGATTTTGAAGCAAGATTGCTGAACATCCTTTCTGAGCCAATCTCTGGTCCTTTGTAAAGGTATCCCTCTTTTGTTCCAACATCCACTTTGTTTTGAGCTTCAAGTTCATTTTCTATTTCAGTATCAAGATCATAAATTTCAATCGGCAACTTTGTGTCAAAGGGCCTGAAAAATATTTAGCAACTGTTAAAGAATCTTTTTTCTAATAATAAATACAATTAGTAGTAATTATAATAAGTATTTATGTGACTATAAAATTTATATCAAGGAAAAATTAAAAAACATAACAATAAAAAATTACATAATTTAATTTAAGAAACAGACTGTTCCTTACTGACTTGTAAGGAAATAAATTTAGACAAATAATTTGTTGTTCAGACATAATAAGTAAACTCTTTAGATAGGGCAAGGATGACCAGCTAATGATAAATGTGTAGCATAATCTATAACATATAATAATGAGTTGTTATTTTGTGAGACTATAAATTAAGATTTAGTTTTTATAGAAATAAAAAAGCATGAACCAGTATTTATAAATGAAATCAAGGTTATGTTATATGCAAAAATGCATTCATTTTTGGCAATAACCTTCTCTCTTTATCTGCAGCTTTGGATCTGACCATGACTTCAACTCTAATTAGTTTGCTAATAGGTAAAGCTATTTTTCAACACATTCGCTTTATGATACCATTCCAATTCAATTAGTATTAATTATAGTACTTTTCTGTTAGTTAAATTGTTGATCTTGAAATAGCTAACTTGTGTTGAACCTTATGAATATTTTCTCCTGATAAATAGTAAAAAATATTCAGTGTTCAATTTAAAGTTTCCTTTGGATAAACAAGTGTTCCTGGCATAATCTTTCTAATTCAGAGTTAATGGTAGAGTATCAATTTATTTACAGTCATCTCAGGTACTACTAAAATACACCATGCTCAGGGACTGCAGACAATTCTTTATTACTTTTTGAAAACTAGCACTAGCACTACACTTATGTTTATACTCTATTATTTTAATTTGTATTAGTATCATAATAAAGCATCATCATGCTTGTCTTTATTGTTTTTTGCATTAAGAATACTATAATTATTATTAATTGTAATGGAGGTATCTTTTTATTTTAAATTATATATGATAAAGTTCTTTGCCTAAGTTCAAATTAATAGTTGAGGTAAACTTGTTATAATTTATAGCAAACAGGAAAGTACCTTACCGTGGCAAATTATGATAAGAGCCTGAGTAATTACTATATTTGTAATGAACAAGGTTCCAACTGGATGCATAGCTAAGGAGAGCTTGTCTAGTAAGAAGAGGGCATGTTGCAGATGTTCTCACATCAGGGACAGCTGTTGTCACTGTTCTCCATCTCCGAGGGAGAACTACACTCTAAAGAATCAATTACATTATTACAATTTCAAAGGTGTTTGATAATTTAGCAATTATTTAATTGTATTGTTTAACTTACAGAAACATCATCTGATGGATACAAAAGTATATCCCGTAATGGATCATTCAGTAATAGTGTTTTGTTCTCTTGTATGTACTGTTCAAAATCCAAAACTGTGCATTTGGTTGTTATAATATTCTGAAATGTAAGATGTGTTATTGACATTTGATCTGCGTTTTGTATAAGAAGTAAAGATTATGAATAATGAAGCCAAACTACTACTTAACCTTGTTGCAAGACAATGCACTACTGTTATGTAAATATTATGAACATTGAGCCTGTTATTACAAACAATTTTATCCTACTTTGACTAATTATTTTAAAATATGTTTTAATAGTGTATAATATATTTTTTCAAATAAACAATACACTTAGTAAGGTCATACAATTTTTTTGGACACAAGTAATATAAGGATGATCGACTTTACCATATAGGATGAAAACTATTTTTAAAATATTTGATTGTTGGCCTGTTAAAATTGTTTTTTATACAAGTACCAGACTTATATATAATGCTGAATCAAATTTATAATGAATGACAAAAATGACTTAGAAAGGCAACGCTTAATAACATAAAATATAAATATTTACCCCATATTCGGTGCCGTTCTTCTTCCCTTTTGAATTTACTGGAGGCATTTTCACTAGAAATCCGGCTGGTACACTTACTCAAATTACGAGTAAAAACGCTAAGTATAATCTCCAGTTTCATTATTTACATTCACACTAATTAGGAACATTATTAACGGTTGTGGAAGTCTAAACGAGTAAACGCTGATGAATAAAATTTAGATACCACTGCAAACAAGAAATTCAAATTAAAAATCTGTAGTTTGAACATACAGACAACAGCTATGTACAAAAGCCGCAAGATCAATGAGACTGTCAAACTCAAACATGATATTTGATAATTGATAGTGCTATTGTGACGCCTAACGAAAATGACATTGATAGTGTTATAGTGACGCCTAACGATAGTGACATTGATGATTAGGTTGACTGTTTACATAGATAATTAATTCACTGGATTAATTCTTTAAAATTTAGAGTGTTATAACTTATAACCAAGTTTAAAAACATAAGAAGTTTTTAATTCGTCGTGTCTTTTAGTGTAGCATTATTAGGTTTCTATTTCACTAGGATTAAATTCATATCGTATCGTAACTGCTTAGGCTCAACTCACTCTTACAGGAGTTTTACCTATGTAATGCTTTATCTTTATAATTCCTGAAAAATTCTTACACTTACTAGCTACAAGCTACGGTTCTATTGCAACTAAAGTTTATAATTTCTATATTACTTGTAAGTTAACATATGATGGAGTCTAAATAGACTAAATTAGATTAAATAGTCCAATCGGTTTAGCATTTATGATTCAACCTTTTATTAATTCCAGGCAGAAATTTCATTTACCATCCTTAAGGGGAGGTCAGTGGAAATATAAATCTAAAAATTTTAACCAAATTCGGACAGTAGGTAGGTTACCAGCTATTTGAATTTTGAATGCAGCTACACTGTTATGTTAATAAATCGATAAAAATCAGCTTTTCAACAAAAATTTAAAAGACTTAAGTTATTAACTTAAATATGATCAAGTAATATTGTACATTCATTATATTATTATTAGTGTAGATCTCAATTTTAGAATTTTTTAAATGATAACTAATTTATCATAATACTTACTATTGACGAATATACAAGGTGTCTCAAAAGAAAGTTCATATTTAGTCCAAACATTTTCACATAACGCTCTGCCCTGCGATTCTGTAACTCACTTTTCGAACTCACACAGCGATTTTCGCATCGGCGGTCGCTCTGAAATCAGTCGTGAAGCAGTCATTTTATGATTTGGCATTCTAATAAACAACTACATGCTCTCACCTTTTCAGAATGCCAAATCATAAAATGACTGCTTCACGACTGATTTGAGAGCGACCGCCGGTGCGAAAACCGCTGTGTGAGTTCGAAAAGTGAGTTACAGAATCGCAGGGCTGAATTGACTGTAACTGTGCACCCCCTTTCGTCTTGAAAAAAGTAAGGGCCGATAATTCCTCGCACTGATATCGCATCCCATACAGTCAATATAGGCGAATGAAGGGGTCTCCGATAAAAATATCGCAGGCGCAACTAGATAAATATTATTTTATGATCGTTTATTTATTTAAATGTTACATTAATTAATAATGTACATATTTGGTATTTTCCGCTTTTATTTAATCTGGTCTGTTATATTTATCAGAGTTGTAATAAGTATATTAAGACCAAACTTAGACATTCATACTTGTGCTTTTCGAGAGGAGGCCTGCCAAGCAGAATTTGCGGACTTTAGACTTTTATTTGTGGAACTAAAGTTGTAAGTTTGTAATATGAAATGTGCTAGAATACCGACTTTGAGCGCAAAAAGGCATTAACGTCCGGCAATATCCTTGAGGTAGAAAGTGCACATGACAGCGCCGTGAGCCAATTTACCACTTATTACAGAAAAAAATCCGCTATGTTACTTGAAAATTATGGACTTTTTCATAATATAAGTACATACTGTTAATTTTGAGTAATATAATTTTTTGAATATGAAATGATGTTTAGCATAAAAAATCCTCTTAGTAATAAAACAACGTACTTACGCATATTTCTTTTGACACCTTTATTATGAACATCCAAAAATAATTAACAGGCAAAATATGGTAGGTATACATTGTAATCATTTAATATCTTTTTTCTACAGTAGACTTTATTATTTATTAGGTATATAATATGTACAATTTACAAAAATTTTATAAATAATAATTATTTAGTTTGATGATTCTGAATTTATAGGATCAATATAAGTGTATTGTACTTACATTCTTTTTAGTAATTCGAAAACCATAGTTTATAAATTAATTTCTTCAACATCGACACTCATGAACATCTATAATGACAATTGACATACGTTGTCAGACTTTAAAAGATTTACGAGACATTCACTAAAATAAGATTTGTTTGTTGATTTTATTGTATCAAACAGAAAGATATGCTGTAGGTACCCTGGCCCAGCTAAGTATTATAAAATTCTAGTCATAACAAATTAATTGAATTTTTCTTTTGGTTTTTATTATGCACGTCCCTTAATCAATTATATTTACTATAACACTTAAAAAGTTATTATCTTAATTTTATTAATGACTTTAAATCGTACGAAATATATTTTTTTAAATTCATCATAATCTGGTATTTAACTATACGTCAGATAACGTAGACAGACAAAATACTTTAATAGTAATTAGGATAGTATAAATTTTTGGTCAATGTATGGCACATTTACATCTATATTATGATTTAAGTAAATATGTACCCAAATATTGTACATGAATGTAAAGCTATTTGTACAACAATAATATAACATGTATGTAACTAACATAATTGAGTATTTTACGTCGTCGTCTTATAGTTACCAACATATAGATACAAAGTTTAACATTCAAATAGTTCCATACTCATTTGAGACGGGAATGTAAACGCTTTGGATTTTGCAGCCAAGGGCGAAGCTCGCGGCACGTACTGAGACACTGGGGCCGGGGCTTGACGTCAAGTGTAGTCATCGTCAATGTCCTCATCTTCGCTGAACTCTGAATCGGGATCCAGGTCCGGTAGTGGCTTCATATAGTCTGCATTACACGGTGGATTTGTTGGAATTAAATACCCTGTAGAATCTTGCGGTGGCGGCGGTGGTCGGGGCAGTCTTATTTGAGTACTTCCATTGGCCGCAGCCGCTACTTCTAGTTTCCTACAAATCTCGTCAAAACCAATCCTATTTCTAGGATCCGTTGCCCAACATTCTCTCATTAATCTACAGGCGAATTGCGGGCAGTCCTCAGGTGGGACCAGTAAGATACCGTTTGTGATTCGTTTCGTTGCATCGTCATTATTGCAGCCGTAGTAAGGTTGTTTACCGCGGCTGTAGATTTCCCATAGGACAACTCCGTATGACCACACATCGGATTCGTGGGTAAATCGAGCGTAAACAATACTCTCAGGGGACATCCATCGCACTGGCATGGGTCTTTCTCCGCCCATTTTGTAATAGTCACAGGTGTACACGTCACGGGACATACCAAAGTCTGCTATTTTTACTGATAAGTTCGCTCCAACTAAACAATTCCTAGCGGCAAGGTCGCGGTGGACGAATCGCTTGGAGGCAAGATACTGCATGCCTCTTGCTACCTGAAGAGCGATGTGTAGTAGCGCCGGTTCTAATAAAGTAGGTCCAGCTCTTCCACCGCCTCGAGATCCTCGTAGTACGCCAGCTAAATCACCCCATTCCATGTATTCGAAGACCATCCACGGACTAGCATTGATGTCATCTGTAAAATTATTATATTATTAGCCCATGTATGCTGGAAGAGTTTTCTGACAAGACAAGGTAAAATAGTAGATAGGTATTTAGTTTTTGTTTGTTGGTGCAAGAAAGTTTTTAATATGTAATTATTAATTGTTTAATGTTTTTGTATAATCAACCATGCTAGGCACATGAATTTGAAGTAATTTTAAATGTAGTTTACCTCTGTAAACTACTCCAACCAGACTTAAAATGTTTGGATGTCGGAATGCGGACATAATTGACACCTCTCTGACGAAGTCTTCTTCGGCACTTCGGCCAGCGCTCTCTTTCAGTACTTTGATTGCCACAACTTGTTCACCATGGTCGACACGAAGAACACCTAGAAAATTTAACATATTTTTTAATAATATTCTGTGTGCTAGAGTAAAAATATGAATAAATACATTTTTATAGTTGATATCAATTTGGTTGACATAAAGTTGGTCTATCTACCTTTATGAACTTTTCCAAAACATCCTTCCCCGACTTCTTCCAGGAAGGTCAGAGCACTGCGATCGAGGAGTTTAACCTCAGGTTCTGTGGCATCGCCGCCGTGATGAGGGGCAGGCGAACCAGGAACCACCAACGCCGCCGCCCCAGCACCGCAGACGCCGTACTGCGGGTTCGTTATATACCGTTCAGCAAGCAGAGGCTCGCCAGGTCGTAAACGCTACAAAGATAATGGCAGACATTGGCAAAGCAAGGTCAACGAGTGATTGTGTTTTGTTCTACTCACATATAATATCCATGAAAGCTTGCTTTTGAAACGTTTAGTCAGTTGTAATTTTTACTAATGCGACTTTAACATAAACATTTGAAATATTATCGAATGAAAATGAAATATTAAATTCAACTCACGCCTTACCATTGGTATCACTTGGTGCTTAATTTTTCTTTCAATTTGATTTTATATGTAGACTAGAACATTCTGGCTGGGTTAAATTTGAGTTACTACAGTTATTAATGATTTAATATATTACAAATGTGGTACAGCTGAAATATTAAGTCATAATTTGTAAATCGCGGCAACTTTCAAGAGAGAAACGAAAAATTAAGCAACGGTAACCCGCACCATGCACATGCACATGCACATACATAATTGTGATAACTAAACGCGATGTACCCTGGTTAAATCAGTAGTATATAATAATTTAAGACCCAATAACGATTGTTTAAAGAATGCCTTTTTTAGATTCTGTACTTGTATGGGTTTTTCTTTCCTTCAATATTTAATGAATTGGTAGAGAACCTTTGTAAAGGGGAAATACCCAGCTTTTCATGGATATAATACGATAATAGTTAAATGACATGATTTGGCAATGTTAGTTATGAAGCGAAGCCCCTTACCGGTTTGACTTTTCCGTCGACATCACAGATTCGCTTTCTGAGGTAGAGAATTACACTAATTATTGCTACTATGACCAATAAAGAGACACAGCCTGCGACCACCGTCATGATAATCGGTGCAGTTGGGTTTTCATGAACGTTGGCTCCGATGAATGATGGGTCGGTGCCCGTTGTTTCAGTAAGAACTTCACTGCTTACTAAGGACTTCGCACCCTGAAATAAAATATAGAGTTTATAAGCTTAATTTTTAGGTTCAGCTTTGTTAGGAAATGGGTATGCATGTTGGCCTAGTGGCTTCAGCGTGCGACTCTCATCCCGGAGGTCGAAGATTCGATGCACAGCCGGGGTGTGCACCAATGGACTTTCTGTCTATGTGCGCATTTAACATTCGATGGAACGGTGAAGGAAAACATCGTGAACAAACCGGCTTGTCTTAGACTCAGTCGACGGCGTGGGTCAGGTACAGGAGGCTGATCACTTGCCTATTAGATTAACAAATGATCATGAAACAGATACAGAAATCTGAGGCCCAGACCGAAAAAGGTTGTAGAGCCACTGATTTAGGCTATGTTCAGATGGCAAAATCTTGACGCGCGTTTTCAAATCGCGCGACTAGACATTGTGGTATTTTTATACAACTGTTCACATGAGCTCGCGTTAACGCGCGTCAACGCGGCGCTCAGAGAAAAAGTCTCTAGACGCAGGTGATCGCGCGTTGACGCGCGCTTTGATATTAATGTAATGTCCGTTTGCTGTTCAGTTGAGCGCGCGCTTTCATCGCGATCGCATGTAATTTTGTTATTTTCGTAATTATATTTATAACAAACTGGGTCTATTTTTCAAAATTGGATGAACCCAATGTGTACGTTTTCTTTTTCTATATTTTTCTTTATAATATAACCACAAAATAATAGCCTCTTCCACATCCATGTTCTACGTTCTACCGAACTAGACTGACGAGTACTCTCGCAACGCGCATTAGCGCTCATCATCTGAACTCTCTTCAAATTTGATCGGCGTTGCGCGTTGACGCGCGTTACATGTGAACATAGCCTTATGGGTATGCGTGGAGACGCATAAAATTGTCGGTCTTATAAGGATAGACAATGTTAACTGTGGTGAAGCGTTAATATTGTATAACCCTGAGTGCAGGTGAATTGTTGATGAGTGAAAGAATGAATTTGTTTGTGGACAATAAACATTTCCTTTTAGGTGGTGACATCGCAAGGAAACTACCTTGTCTCAGAGTAAGATTCATGTCGATACGTTTTTGACATACGGGAGTAACACTTTCTTTTTATTTATGGAAGTGGGGTTAAGTGATAAGTCCGCCGCCCATGGACTGCCACAGTGTTGCCGGCCTTTTAATGGAACGCTTTTTCTTGAAGTACCCTAAGTCGAAATGGTTTGGTTTAGGTGCGCGGCAAAAATTGCCTTAAAAATCGCTTAGCTCTAAGTCAGACGTGTCAAGCATACAAGACTGATTTACTGCACTACAACCCTTTATAATTACGCATATTAAATTTAATAAAACGAAAATTATTTTAGGGTCTTGTCTATGTCTCTATTTTGGCGCCAGTAACGATTATCTGTCTGACAGCTGACGTCACAAATGTATGAATATTTATTAGAAACCACAAAAAAACGAGCTACAATTTATAGAGCTTTAATTGTATTACCATCTCAAACGATTAAAGCGTTCAATATTTTTTATTATGTTTAAATTACTATTAACTAAAAATGTATTAAGTTTAGTAATTGATATTTTTTTATTTTTATATTAAATCGTTTGAAGACGAAGACTGCGGGTGATCAAACTATTGAATGGTCCCTCAAATTTTGGGCGGTTCCAATGATCGTTTGTATTGGGGCAACATTGTTGTGTAGGAATAAAGAGTTTTGTTTTATTAATAGCAACATCCCGATGTAGCATCCGCCAATTTTTCATAGAGGTCAATTGTGATGCTAATTCTGAATATCTCAGTATCAATGACACGTTGTACGTATATATTTGTCTTTAGCTTTGGACATTTTCTTTAGGTTGTCACTTTTTTAATGTTATTGCAATTTTGAACTAACAGTATTTAGTATTTCATTCTCGGCTGCAACGATGTCTGCTCTGTCTTATCCAAAATGCTATGTCGTATTTTCAGAGCAGTTTCAGTAAAACAATAGTTACATTATATAAACCTTACTTGTGCTGTTGGAGATATCGGCGGGTATCTTGTCTCCGTCGCATTCGACGGTCCTGGTGGGATGATATTGTGAATTGCTTTGCTCTGTGTCAATGGCACTGAAAAAAATATATCCATTTAAGTTTAATAGAATGGATTCCTGGCAAGATTGGATTGATGATGATGGGGTATTTTGGCAACTGTCACTATTCCTTTGTTATTGAACTCTTAAGCTGTTGATTTTATTTTATATATCGTTAAAAAATAACAATTAATAATAAATTTAATGTTTAATATTGCTTAAAATTATAAACTACGCCGGCTGTGTTAATAAATATTACATTATAATAACCTTTGTAACTGTCCAATAGCAAATTAAGATATTAGTAACCAAGTTTGATATGTTTGAAGACTGACTATCCAGTACCTGTGCTTCGAGGACAGCTGACACCATCTCTCATAGGTTGCCCATCCGTCGTGCAGACACAATAATGGGACGTATTGTTGGACACCTGTAGGCAACCAGCCTCTGGACCACCGCATGACGAAGACTCGCATCCACCAGGAAAATATTTAACTGAAAACCAAGATATTATTAGACCATCCTTTATCGATAACTGATAAGTCGTGGTAAAGAAATATATTGTATTTGTTTTCCAATTGCAACATTTATTTTGAATTTCTATTTATCCATTTTTTAATATTATTCTTATTATGTTAGTTATTATTAGGTTAAGAACATTGTAAATACAATATTTGTGTGTATTAAGTAATTATAAATTTATTATATTGATAACATCACCGGAAAAATATAAAAACAATACTTCGCTTCAAAACCCTGCCGGGTACACTCCACCTTGAAGATTTTATGTATTAAGTCTTAAGAATCAGTTTTGCCATATTAAGGTACTGCACAATATTGACTAAAAACTAGCCCGACAGTGTCTTTAATATCTCGCAAAAAGGACATGGCTACATACAGTGGTTTTTAAATGTAGTATACCAAGATTTTGATAGAATACAGTGATTTCCAATATTGCCAACTGTATTTTTTAACCCTAAACAATTATTGTTTTGTCGTAAAGCTATTCGGATTGAACAGAAACTACAAACCGGGCATTAGGCTCGAGGTGGGAGAATTTTGCTATTTGTAAACCTCTAAAAAGAGGTATTATACTGTTTCACTAAAATATTAACCTTTATGTTGAATGTACTTATCTGATTCTGACCCTAACTCTATATGTAACTTTTAAACAGCATTACTATTCATTTTGACTGACGGACCCTGACTATGACAAATATAATTTATTTTATACTATGGAGGAAGAATTAAAAAGTATTTCCCTCTCTGTTTTTACTATTCAAATTTACCTACTTAAGAACTTACTTTCGGAACTGGAGGAAGGTCGTGCTTCTTCTCTCGCTACCCTTGCGAGTTTTTCTGTCTTCCGCAGGTTCTGGAAAAATATTTTTTATCTTAATTTACTTTGCAAATGAATAAAATTCATCAGTTATTAATTAACAGCGCAATGAAAACTGTAGGTATTAAAAATGTAATTCAGAGTGTTAGTCATACTTGCTTTAATTTGTCCAAATCATGGACATTTTGCAACGCAAATGAATGAAGATATGATAAGAAATCAAAAAATTTTAACTATTATTTAAATCATGCTAATTTCCCACAGCATACAATTTCGCTATCACCAACAATTCCACGCAATGACCAACTATAAATATTAACATTGTTATTCATCGTGCATGAGTTGAAAATCTCAAACTTAAATTGCTCCATTGAAACATACAGCGCTCATGAAATGAACAAAGCATCTTTGTACGACTTCAGGAAGTGTATTAGTGAAACGTAAGCGTATACATTACATATTCACGAGAAATTAAAGAGAGGATATCTATATAAAATGCATTTGGAATTACATTGATACCAGTTTGATTGAATTCGCTCAGTTTACTAATAAATTTTACATGTAAAGCCAGCTTTGCGATTTAAAAATCGAATAACCAAAATACATTCAGCGCTTAATATTCCATTTTTAAATATTGAAACACTTGTGGATTCTAATGCGTAGTAGATTTAACGTATAGGTTCTTCTTTGTATTTGATTGTTTAATTTTACAATATGTAAGTTATGCAAATACCTATTCAGAGTAAGTCGTAATTGTAGACATTATCTACAAAATGCGCACTTCGTAGATATTATTCTCAATATAAAATCAGACCTATTTCTTGTCGAAATTGATGAAAATAGATGTAAATTGCGAAGAAGAGACTTTGCGTTTATTGCATCAGTTTTTGCCACGAGTATCATTAATACTATTATTACTAATGTATATTTTTCATATTGTTTCCTTTTTAGTTTCGTTTTTTTTGTTCCTATTTTAGTTTTGTCTAAATAACTTTATGTATTGTGTTTTTTTGCACTTCTTTCTTGCCTTATCTAATTTAATTTATTATATTTTTTCACAGTGGTTGTCTGGAAGACATCGCTCGAAAGCGATAAGGCCGCCAGCTGCCCTACTTTTCATTTCATTATGTCAATTGTATTATGTTTCTACCACGAAGTGTTAATAAATAAATAAATATATTTAGGTTTTCTAAGGCAATTTTAACCAATATATAATTTATAGATAGTTTTAATGGTGAAATATTTTTCCAGTTCTAATATTGTGTTCATTCACATTTTTGATTGAATTGATCATACCTGTGAGTAAACGAGAACATCATTGCTAAGAACGTATTTAAATTACCACACGACCTCACCATAGTCCTTGCCTACCTGCCACCCATGCCAAATACCATGTAACTGGAGATTCTTGCTACTAATTTGAATTAATTATAATGTTAATTAGATAACGCGAACAGAATTAAAACTAAGCTCCCATGTCCGTATTCTCTGTTTACATTTTGCGTTCCAATTTGCAAGATTCAATTACTACGCATTCGTGAATTGCACTCTCACACAAGTATAATTTTTAATCTGATTTTTAAAGTTTAAAGACAATCTAGTACTTTTAGTATACATTGCAGTGGATTTTACTATCTGCGCAATGTATACTGCTCATATGGTAAAGAAAAATATCGTGATCCTAGACCAAAATCTGTGTGTCTAGCATATGCCGCAGAAGCCGCATAAACAAATGCAGAGGTAGGCTGTATGTGAATCATATTAAGCAGAGAGGTGAAGAAAACAAATAGTTTAAAGCAATGGTTTGTACTAATAACACAGTTTTTTTTATATAATAGGGGGGCAAACGAGCTTGCGGGACGACCAAAAAGGACAGGCCCTGATTCCATAGTTCGCTAGTTCGCAAAAGAAAATGCCTTGTGAAACGGACTGTGGAAGACCTCCAACCATCAAGATGATGTTGGTGAAATTTTTTGCATACAATTTCGAATACTTCACCTTGGCATCGTACGTTTACACATTAGTATAATAATGAAAAGAAAAAATAACGGCGTCGTTAAACAATTTCCTCAGTACCGATGCAAAAACAAATCATATTGGTACTCTACCGTATTCTTAATTAAGTGTTAGGTTCACGCACTTCGATAGTTTTTAAATTTATTGCGTTCATACTGGCAGCTCTTTATAATATTTATGTAAGGATTTAAGTTCTTTACTTTGGAGTGTAATAATCGAGTAGGCTAAAATTATATGAAACAATTTGGCCTAAAGGCACAGACAATTAATATTGTGTAGCACAATACTGTAATTTCTCAAGATAAGTTTGAATTGGTCTGACTCGTGGTTATTTTGAACATCTTATCAAACGCACTTGCTCGTAAAGTTATAATAAATGTGTTCGATATTTCAGTATTAAAAAGTGTTTGATTTTTTATACGTTGCTTTATAATCCTATGCCAGTAATTACTTTATTTTATTTGAAAAGTTTATTTAAGTTAAGTCTACTAGGTAGGTAGATGACATAGTGCGATTTGATGTGGGGGAATCGCTGATGCTGGAAATTTAGGGGAGGCTTCAGCCTGTGGTGTGATCAAATTTAATGACGTGGAATAAGTGATACCTGTATCTTAAATTCCATAATAAAAATATTTATTTTTTTATTTTCTGAAGCGATTCGATACGAGCGATGGTCGATGTTACTGGGTCATTATTACTGTTATACCTTTTATTGCATTACTTCGGTTTAGGCGAGAAGAAAGTTTTAAAGCAGATTTAGATGATATTTCACCATCTAGTTAAGTTTTATGTAAATGCAGGCAATCTAGAGGAAGCGTTAGTCAACTGGTAAACAGATTTCCAAAAGATAATTTATAATTTTTGGACCAAATAATCTATATATAAATAATAGTCGTTTCACACAATGCCTATGGGCAACTAGAACCAAAGACGCTTATCGTGATTGGCAACACCGAAGGCAAACAATCGCGTGGACGTTCGCTAACGAGATGGAGGGATCAGGTCAAAGACTCGTCCTCAAAGTTATACACCGTTGAAAAAAAAACGCAGGACCCAAAGGAGGATGAAAATTATTCGCGATCCTATTCACCTGACCACGAAACACAGACATTACCAACCCAGAGAGAGAGAGAGAGAAAGAATAGCCATAGTATCCGTTTGTCGTATCAGACTACGTGGTATTAAATAAATTATTGGTACTAAAAATATTAAAAACAAAATTATGGTTACGTGGTAAGCTTTCAGTCTCTATTAATCCCTCAATACGCGCAACTAATAATATATATCTATAAGTATTGAGAACAAGCTGTAATGATTCTTTAAAACAGTAAAAGGAATGCGATTTACATCATCCATCTTTACTAACGAGCGTTACACAACGAAACATCTCCGCTTGTCTTCTTAACTCTTGTACGTTATAAATCAACAACTGACGATAATATAAATACGACTAATATTATAACTCAGTTACCCAATCAGACAGGCATTTGGATTTGATTACAGAATGCATTAATAATTAAATCATTGAATTTTCATTGATGACAACACTATTAATTTTTTATTAAATATCTGTGGATTTCATAGACTGATGGTGTTTTCATTGCAAATTTGTTATTACTATTGTAATTTAAGAGAATTTGATCAAGCAGGAGTGTACGAATGAATAAAATCAGCCGGTTTCTTAATAAAAAAATAACGTATTTTTTCTCTATATTTGTTTCTGTTTAATTTTTTGTATTTACTTTTAATCTTAAATTTATAAGGAATTTAAAATTTGTAATGTGGCCCTTCAGGCAAGTAAGGTAAAGCCCATAGTGGTTTTTTGGTGATTTCTGTACTTTTAGATTATATTGAGCTATATTACAAAAAATTGTCAGTCTATCTTATTTATTCTATAGTACTTTTTATGTTATCACTTGATTAAAATATTATTATTAATCACTACATATGAAAAACGCCGCGTCTGTTTGTTCAGAATAAACTCTTAAACTATTATCCGTAATAATTGTAAAAATATAATTAATCCGGACGAGTAAGTACTAAAATAATTGGTGACTGTTATCAATGTGTCAAATTAGCAAATCTCCAGGGGACAAATAAATTGAAATGTAATCGGAAATTAGATGATGTTTGTTCCATTTCTAGTTCGCAATTTCCTATTCATTTCATAGTTACACGTTCCCTGCAATTTTGTTTGTACTTCAATGAGACACTCTGATTAGAGATATATAAATAGCTGTATTATTAGTTCATGCCTCCCCAGCTTGGTTAGTAACGTATCCCCGGATGGGATTGATGTTGGGAAACGATTTCAACGTTTCGGTTTTGAAGACACAGAAGGCTGATCACCTACTTACATATAAATGATCAATGTTTGTAAAGCTCCCTGGTACATTCGCAATAACGACCTCCATCGGAATTTTAATGTAGAGGACGACGCCACAGTAGTAAAAAAGACTGCTGGAGCCCACGAACATAGGCTCCACCATCACGTGAATGTCGAGGCTATTCAACTCCTTGACACCACGGGCCTAGTAAGAAGACTGAAAAGGACAAAACCATTTGAACGAGTGAAATTGTGTTAGTGTACGTTAGTCTTAAGTGCTTAACAGTGGCTCAAGATTCAAGATTCAAAGCCTTTATTTCAACTAATACAAGAGAAAGTTTACAAAATATAAATGTATATAAAAAAAGTTTTTTAAGAAGGTTTAGTTGTCCTCTTGTACAGCTTGCCTTTGTGGCACAAAGGCCTCCTCCAGCTGTTTCCAATGCTTCCTATCCCTGGCAAGTCTTTGCCACAGAGGACTAGTGGCTTATGTAAAGTCATCAGCCCACCGCGCACATGGTCTTCCTCTCTTTCCCTTGGTGATGTAGCGAGGTGTCCATTGACTGACTTTTTTCGACCATTTTGCTCTCTGGCCTCTGAGCAGGTGTCTTGTCCATCTCCATTTAAGCCTTTTGGCTCTGGTCATTGCATCTTCCCAGTTGGTGATCCTTCGGAGATCTACAGCTCTACTCTTTAGGTTAGACTTAAATTACTTATTTAGACTAAAAATGTTAATAAGTTAGAAGGCTAGATCGTAATTTTCCATAATGTCTAAGTAAAGACACATACATGTATTAAAAAATATATAATAATGTTTATAATTCTGCAGGTATGTCATAGAGTACCAGATTTTTTACCAGGTTACCAGACAATTTAAATTCGTTACTTTTATGTTTTCTTAGGTAACAATGAGATAATTTTGTTTACTTTTTAATTTATATTTATTAAGGCCTTATTAACCTTAAACGAAATAGTTTACTGTCTTGAAAGATGCTAAGTTGTATTTGTTGTATAAAAGCGATTGTCAACTGTGAATTATACGATCTATATTTGCTGTATCTGAAAGAAGGACATCAAAGTAATAAGGGTGGAAATGTAATCAATTAAATAAAAATTATGAATCCTTCTATTAATAATCTGTTGATATTATTATTTTCATTAATAACAAATGCGTTAGATTATTATCTTGATTGTAAAATCATATCATAAGTATACACCTACGTAAACAAAAAACGCTTTTTGTATAAATAATGAGTTCAAACAATAGATTTCAGTGAGTTATCTTTTGTCCTGAAAATCATACTGTAGCGTAAATTTTTCTCACATATAACTTCTATGAAATTTTTCTGAGAGTAGAGCAAGAAATATTTAAATTAAATGTTATTTTATTCATTTTCATATTAAAATGTAAAACAATCCAGATTACAAGAAAGTTGTTAGCAATGTATGTCTTAATGATAAGCGGTAATATTTTCTAGTATACGAAATGGCCTAAAACGGGCAATCAAATAATTTTATAGCTAATAAAAGATTAGTACGCGTTATTGACGCTTTGATGCGTGGAGCTTTTGGAAATAAAATTATATTGTTACTTATATCGATTGATAAGCACAAATGGATCACATACATTAGTTTTATATGCATTTTATCTTTCAACATTTTGTTATTTTATTCAAAGTATTTTGTTTATTAGTTCTTGTGTTTAAATTAATAAAGTTAAAAGTTATTAAGTCAGAACCATATAAAATAATATAAATTGTGTTAGTGTATTTTAAATATAAGAAAAGTACTTTGTTTATAAATTATATAATAAATAAGGTTTATTAGTAATCATAACAATCAAATATACCGTAGGTTCACATTAACATCTTTTTATTGCTAATAAGTTCTTTTGTTTAGTTTTAAATTAATAAGTTGATATTTATCAAGCTAGAACTATGTATATTGAAGTTAATATTTATAGTATTTAAAGTTTAAATATCGTATTTTTTTGGTTACAAATTTATAAGTAAGATAATACGAGTTATCGCATATATATAAATGTTTATTTATTTATGAATATCAATAATTTCCTACAAATAAATCAAGTATTTATATACGAGTATATATATATAATAATATATAATTAGTGATGCAACGGGCGGCGTTCTCTTTCTGGCAACTCTAATAAGGAAATAGAGTTTCTCTTATCCCATCGAGTCTCATGTCAAATAAACAAACGAGAATCATTCTCTAAGTATTAGAGACTAATACGGTAAAGTACCCAAGCTTTTACACAAATCGTATCATTAGCAGTCAGGTAAACTAGAAGTTATTTTGTCATTTCAACCATTACTTGCAATAGCTGTTCTAAGACCACAGCCATGGTATTTCACAATACACATTTATCTAACGGGAGCGACTGAGACAGCTATTGTAGAATATGATTGATAGGAATCTAACATTGCCTAGATGGTGTCAGATTGCCTCCAAGGGCCCTGCACAAATTTGCCAAATACCTGAAATAACGATTAGAGATAAACAATGTTCTATTTTAATTAGGTATATGTGATAAATATTGTTTAGGCTACAATTTGTCTATATCTTAGTAATACATTAACAGAAGGAAATGTCTATTAAAGGCTTATATGATTTAGGCGCAACATATATTTGTGTTAATGCGATTTACTTGCACTTTTAGCATGAAAGTACATGAGAAATAAATAGATATAGTAAAAGTAATATTTATGTACGAGTAGTATTTCATTACAAAATTATCTCTTTAGTGTAAAAATCAATGAACGTAGTATTAAGTTGATGATAGAAAAAAGTAAAAAAAAAGTCGAATTACAAAACCCTTCGGGTATTCGAAGTAGGTTAAATAAAATAACATTTTTTTTTGTAAAATATGTATAGGTTTTAATAAAATTTATATCCTCTTACAATATTAAAGCAGATTTTTTCATGAATACATAAAAATGCATTTCATTTCTACAGCCTTGTAACGTATATTACGTTTCGCAGAATCCGCAATCAGCCGGGACATTTCCGTGAAAATACAGAATCTGATATACGATTTATTTTTATTTCAAACAATGTAAACAATGAATGAAATCATATATTTTCGTAAGGTTTTACGAGGGAGCTTTTAAGTCCGTGATAAATTCCTCCATTCAGGATTTCAGTACTTTGTAACAACAAATTCATTAATTCAAGGAGCGCGGTTCTGATTTAAATGAACAATGTATATTTAAGGAGTGATAAGTTATATTTTATATAAATTATGTGTATACATTTTATACTTACTACGTTCTACTAGATTTAAATTATAGTCTATGAAATTATCATTAAAAGAAACGGCATTTTACCGAGGTTCCAATATCAGTAGATGTAGTGTCTCTTTTATAGAACAGGGGTCAAACTGGCATGCATGCGGTAGGCTACCAGGCAGGCGGATGTTAAGTGATACCGCTACCATAGACACAGTGTCAGAAGGAAAGCATGTGCTTTGCCGCTTAAGATTTGGTACGCTCTTTTCTTGAAACGAAATATATATTAAGTGGTATGAAAACGAAATATCAAAATCACTGTTAAAGTTACGCCATGAGTTATATTTATAATTCTAACAAAATAAATGTTCTCAATGTAAGAATTACGATTTATATTCATATCTAACAAATACTTAGGAATGTATTATAATAAATGTCTTGATATTATTGTTTCCTGGAATATAAAGTAACAAAAACAATTCATTATGTCATGATAAATATTGACCTTACGATAACTATAAGAAATGTGAAATCGTT